TCCTTGCCCTGAAGTCTACACTGTCTTAATTAAGTATAGCTACTCCAACTTTCTTTTGATTAGTTTTAACATGGTATATTTTTCTCTGTCTATTTATCTTCAGTCTATCTTGGTCTTTATAGTGAGTTTCTTGTAGACAACATGTAGTTGGAAGCCTCACACTTTTAAAAGATGAAATCTTTGGATCTTAGCAATCATTCAGATATGACGATTATAGGATGACTCAAATGTTTTCTTCAACAATTGATAATTTCTTTCACTGAGATGAAAAATGAAAGGGAAAGAGCAGATTAGAAGACAGAGGAGATGTGTATTCATGTTGAGTTTGTTGGGCCCATGGCCTATCTGCTGGAGATGTCCAGGGATTAGAGTGTTGGTGGATCTAAAGTTCCAGATAGAGATGAGGGTTAGAGACATTGAATTCAGTCAAGTGCTTTGATCCTGTCAGTGGCCCTGGAAAAGGGTGGGCATGCACAAGGGGAGTGGGCAGACTGAAAGAGAACAGAATCAGGACCACCAGTTTGATAGAATTCCTTGATTTCAATGACAGAGTCCAGATGGCTTTGCTCAAATAACAAACTGCAAAAATGCAAACAGAAAATTTCTGTCTTTGCTTCATTTCCTCTTGGCCTGCCAACTTTATTCTCTCTTATCAGCTATTTTTGGGACACTAGGACCATAGCCCCTGGCAGTTCTGGAACCATATTTCAAAACTTTGTGACTAGAGAGGAAAATCCATCCCCAGTTCCAATTCAGATCATTCCAGGGAAAGCCTGTGATTGGCCCTTGCTTGCATCACACCCCATCTCTGAGGTACCATGATTCATGGTCCCTATCAGAAACATTTTGGGCAAAGGTAGGAGAATTTTCTGGAAAGAAAATAGAGGAAAGCATATCAGGCAGACTGAAAGCATCAGCATCTCCTTCAGACACCAAGAGATCAAAGTGAGGGGAAAGAGCCCTGGGAGGAGATCGAGGGGAACCCCAGAATAAAAGGAAGACAGGGAAGTGCAGTCCTGCAGAAGTCACAGGGGCGAGCTCAGGGAACAGGGCTTGGCTGAAAGATTCCTGGCACTAACTTGGGCAATGTTGTCCTTGGAGGGATCAGTGCAGTGTTGGTGGGTATGCACATGCAACCCAAGGCTTGGGAAGGTGTGAAGGGTGAGAGAGTGGAGAGAGGGCAACTGTTTCAGGCAGTTCAGCTATGGAATAGAAACAAGAGGAAAGCAATATTTGGAGGGGGTCAGGAGGCCAAAAAAATTCATTTTAAGATAATCAAAACTTCAACTTAATGTTGCTGACAAGGGGGTACTGTATTTATTTTCTGGTGGAATTATCATGTCACTTAAGCAGGATTTTTGATTCATTAAAAAATTTTAAGGCAAAACAGAAGTTTAGATTTTAATCATATTTATAGGAGTTCTAAGTTTTGCTTTACAGATTTGCTTGTTTGCTTCAGCTGTCTCCTTCCCATCTCTACTCTTGGAGGAGATGGGAACAGGCCTGGAGTCCAAACACTTGTAATTTTGTATTCTGGTATCTATTCTCTGAGTACAAAATATTCCCTTACTTGGTTAAGATTCCTGAGTTTTTTTTCTTTTATAATAAAAACAAACTCCACCTTTGTCCCTAAAAAAAAAGATAGACAAAACTTGCATCTTTATGTAGGAAGGAAAAGTCAGAGTAGAAAGAAGATGTGAGAGAGAGGGGTGATTGTATTAGTTGTCTACTGCTGCATAACAAATTACTCCAAAATTTTGCAGCTTAAAATGACAAATATTTATTTTCCCACATAATTTCTGAAATCTAGGAGTAGCTTAGATGGGTGGTTCTGAGCCAGAAACCCTCATGAGGTTTTTTTTTTTGTTTGGTTGGTTGGTTTTTGCTGTTGTTGGCTTCACTGGGTCTTATTTGCAGCATGTAAGATTTTTTTTTTTTTTTGAGTTGCCACATGTGGGATCTAGTTCCCTGACAAGGATAAAACCAGGCCCACTGCACTGAGAGCACAGAACCTTAGCTGTTGGGCCTCCAGGGAAGGCTCCCTCATGAGACTTGTATTCATTTTCTGGGGTTGCCATAACAAAATGCCACCAACTAGGCAGCTCAAGCAACAGACATTTCTGTCCTTACAATTCTGGAACTAGAAGTCCCCAACCAAAGACGCTGGGAGGGTTGGTTTTTCCAGAGGCCCCTCTCCTTGGCTGCAGGCAGTTACCCTCTTGCCACTCTGTCCTCAGATGATCATCCCTTTGCACACACAGCTCTGGTATCTCTTTTTCTTCTTACAAGGATATCAGTCACATTGGATTACGCCCCACCCTAACAACTTCAGTTTAATTTCACCACCTCTTTAAAGGCCTTATCTTCAAATACAGTCCCATTGTGAGGTGCTGGGCTTAGGACTTCAACTTATGAACTGGAGAGGGGGAGTGGACACAATTCAATACCCAACAAGGTTGTAGTCAGGACACTGGCTGGAGCTCTGGTCATCTGAAGCCTTGATCAGGGCTGAAAGATATGCTTCCAAGATCACTGGCTGTTAACTAGAGACCTCCGTGGGGCTGCTTAAGTGTTCTCATGACATGGCAGCAAATTTCCCCAGGCTGAGCAATCTTAGAAAGAACAAGGAGGAAGCCCCAAGTCTTGGAAGCTATACTCTGTCACTCCCATCTTATTCTATTTGTTAGAAGGAAGTCCCTAAGTCCACACACATGGTAGGAAGAACGAATGAGTCTTCCTCTTTGGAAGGGAGCAGAGTCAAAGAATATGTGGGCATCATCACCACAATAATCGATAAAGCAAAAGCCCTGATGGAGGAGGCCAGAGAGAGCAGGCTGCAAGGGTGAGTGTGGAGCTGTCAGAGGCCCCTTCCCTGGGCACCCCTTAGGTGCTCACAGGTATGGGAAAAGGCAGGGATTGAACAGAGCTGGAAGCCGAGGGTGACTTCTTTCTTTTTTCAGTGATGCAGATCAAGGAGTTCTGCAGAGTGATTAGTGAGAGGGAGCCTTGAATTTGGAGGGATTTTTTTTGCAGATAGAGCTGACTAGAGTCCACTCAAGCATCCCTAAGCATTTCTAAAGTCTTAGGGGAGGTACAGGTCATGAAATTTCCCTGGCCCCTATTGTCAAGATGGTGTGACCCATCCTTGGAATGCTCAGCTCGGTGCTCGGACTTTGCAAGGCAGAGGGCCTGGTGCTGGTCTGGGGTGGGGCGGGGGAGTGGCAGTTGGAGGATGTGGCCTCTGCAGTGGAAGCATGGAGCCCTAACCAGTAGACTGCCAGGGAACTCCTCGGAGGACATGGCTTTGGAGTGGAGAAGTTCTGGGTCATGGGAAGACCAGGGGAAGTTGTGGGAAGTGGAGGCAGTGGAGTCTGGGAGCCCAGGACATATGGCAGGTTCAACCCCCAGGGATGGCAGGACTGGTGGGGAACACCTGTGGAGCAGATCCTGGAGGCTGGAGAGGGATGATGTCCATGGAGGTCAGTGGCACGGGTGAGGGCGAAGAGGGTGACAGAGCTGAAGAACACAGGTAGGCCTCCAAGTCCTAGCTGGGGGGAGAAGTGAGGGGCCTGGGCCACAGTAGGGAGTCAGAGGTAGGAAATGCCCCCTGCCTCTTCCCCACCTGCCACCTCACTGGGGTATGTGAGGTGGTAAGATGGACCAGCCTCTCTTTCAAGGAATCTCAGTCTGATTATTGCCTTTTACTTTTTAGGTGCTCAACAAATGCTGGGAGGTATATATTGCCATAAACATATTAATGCCCATGCACTAAGTAAAAAATGGAATGAGAAAATTCTTTGTTCAGCGGAACCAAGAGGCAAAGACTCTGTCACATTTGCCCACTGCCTACAATGGGACACTTCTCTCACCTCCCCACAGTCTGCTCAACCCAAACATGCTGACCTCGCGTCCTCTGTACTTTTCCCTCTGCCTTTGCTAAAGTTACAGCATCCCTGGAGAATGCCCCCTTCTTTCCGCTGTAAATTCTTGCTCGTCTGACAAAGCCGATGTCAAAGGACACCCTCTCCAAGGGCTTCCTTCTCTGTCTCACCGAACAGATATTTCCTAAGTTCCTCCCCGGGGGCAGGTCTGCGTCACAAAAGGGAGTATGTGAGAAACAAAAAAGGCAGCCTCTGTGTCAGGATGAGAGGACAGGGCTGGTGGTGGGCAGGGCTCCTCCTGAGGTCAGGGCTCCGCCTTCCCTCCCCGACTACAGGGCAGCTGCTCAGGCCTGCCTGGTGCTCCCTGGGTACCGGAAGCAGCCAGGTGCTGAGACAGGTTTGAAAGGAGGCAGGTCCAGACTGAATTTTCAGCTATGCTACTGATTAATGAGTCCCATGAATCAAACGGGGGTATCAGTGTTTTGTGGGTGCATGAGGTTTAGATCAAGTATGTTGCATCTCAAGTTCTGGGGCTGGTTCCCTCAGCACTCTGTGTGGCGTATGATAGTGACAGATGTTCACAGATGTCTGACCAGACACAGTTTGAGTTTCTGGGTGGCAGAGATGCTGTTCTCAGGATGTTCAGAACCACCCCATTCCTTATGTTGAGCCCAGTGAGGAGTGCTAAATAGACGTTCAGTAAAGATGAGATAGGGCTTCCCTTGTGGCTCAGCTGGTACAGAATCCGCCCGCGGTGCGGGACACCTAGGTTTGATCCCTGGGTTGGAAAGATCCCCTGGAGAAGGGAAAGGCTACACGCTGCAGTATTCCGGCCTGGAGAATTCCATGGACTGTACAGTCCATGGGGTCACAAAGAGTCTGACATGACTGAGTGACTTTCACTTCACTTCAAAGATGAGGTAGGACTGAAGAAGCTGAGAGAGGCTCCTCTAGCACTTGCCATGGGACTATGACGCATCCATCCATTCTTTCAGGAGTCCTTTCTTGGCCCCATGCCAGGCACTCAGGGCTACACGGATAAGCACTTGTGGCCCCTACCCACCAGGGCTCCAACTCATGGTCATGAAGACTGACATTTTGCTTTCTCTCTGCACACAGGCTGTTGGGAGCGGCTGCCTCAGGATGTCAGGGTTGAGACTGGTAAGAACTGTATCTCTTCCATCAAGGGGTTGTTCATGGGAGTTTCCAAATGCTGACTCAAACCACTCCCAAGGAAAGAAGAAGTAAGGCAATGTGACCTTGGAAGGAAAATACCAGACACAGGGAGTTTGAGGGAAAAGTCAAAGTCTCTCAGTCATGTCTGACTCTTTGCGACCCCAAGGGCTATATAGTCCATGGAAGTCTCCAGGCCAGAACACTGGAGTGGGTAGCTGTTCCCTTCTCCAGGGGATCTTCCCAACCCAGGGACTGAACTCAGGTCTCCCACATTTCAGGCAGATTCTTTACCAGCTGAACCACCAGGCAGATTGTATTACCTAAAGAAAATGAGTTTGGCCAAACTTGGCCTTGGCAGGATGGCCATGTGCACAGAGTAATCCCTCACTTATACTCAGAGCTTAAAATGTCTTGACAAAACCCACTACTACATTTAAAATAGGTGTTCCACAAGGTTGTACTGTATAGCACAGTAAGATAAGATACTAAATATCTTGTAGTAACCTATCATGGAAGAGAATGTAAAAAAATAATTGTTGTTGTTCAGTCACCAAGTTGGTCCAGCTCTTTGTGACCCCATGGACTGCAACATGCCAGGCTTCCCTGCCCCTCACCATCTCCTAGACTTTGCCCAAGTTCATGTTCATTGAATCGGTGATGCCATCTAACCATCTCATCTTCTGTCATCCTCTTCTTCTGCCTTCAATCTTTCTCAGTATCAGGGTCTTTTCCAGTGAGTCAGCTGTTTGCATCAGGTGGCCACAGTATTGAAGCTTCAACTTCAGCATCTGTCCTTCCAATGAGTATTTAGGGTTGATTTCCTTTAAGACCGACTAGTTTGATCTCCTTGCTCTTGATCTCCAAGGGACTCTCAAGACTCTTCTCCAGCACCACAGATTGAAAGCATCAGTTCTTTGGTGCTCTACCTTCTTTATGGTCCAGTTCTCACATCTGTACACGAATATATATATATATACACACACACATAACTGAATCACTTTGCTACACATCTGAAATTATCACACCATTGTAAATCAAATGTATTTCAGTAAATTTTTTAAAAAATAAAATGAAAAATGAAAGAACCTAGGAAAAAATATCTTGACAACAGTATTTTTCATTTGTTGACTCCTCCATTTATCTAAATAAAGGCAGCCCAGAGCTACTTCTAGGCCCATCTTTTCTCCTGTGGGAAGAGAAGACTGGTGGGTGGGCACATGGGACAAGGCATAGTGCACATTTCAGCCAATGGCTGAAATAGCCAGCCCATCTCTGAAGACTGAGGATCAGGTCTCTTGGAAGTGGATTCTTTGTGTCTTTGAGATTCCTCATAGTGATTTCTGTCTCAGGCTGTAGCAGGAGCTCTTCTGCATCATGGGCAGAAGTCAGTTGTCAGGTATTTCTTATCACAAAGAGCAGTGAAGACCTAGATCCCTCTGCTTTCTGTGACTCATTCTCTATTTCTTTTTTAAAAAAATGTTATTTATTTATTTGACTGCACTGGGTCTTAGTTGAGGCACACAAGATCTTCACTGCATCATGTGGGATCTTTACTTGTGTCATGCAGACTCTTAGTTGCAGTGTGTGGGATCTAGTTCCGTGGTCAGAGATGGAACCTGGGCCCCCTCCTTTGGAAGCGTGGAGTCTTAACTAGTGGACCACCAGGGAAGTCCCTCACGCTCTATTTCTTTTTTTTTTTAAATCATTTATTTATTTATTATTTATTTTTGGCTGCGCTGGGTCTCCGTTGCTTTGTGCGGGCTTTTTTTCCCCTCTAGTTGTGGTGGGCAGAGGCTATTCTTCATTGTGGTGCTTGAGCTTCCATTGTGGTGGCTTCTCTTGATACAGAGGACTGGCTCTAGGCAGGGGCTTCAGTGGTTGCAGCACGCGGACTCTGGAGTGTGGGCTCAGTAGTTGTGCTGCAGGGGCTTATTTGCCCTGAGGCACGTGGAATCTTCCCGGGCCAAGGATTGAACTCTGTTGCAGTGGCAGGCAGATTCTTATCACTGTGCCACCAGGGAAGCCCCATCCTTTATTTCTTGATTCTCCATATAGACTCTACTTTTTTTTCCTGTAGCTGATAGCTTTTTCTTTACCTCTTCTTGCTCATTCTTTCCCTGATTCAGCTGCTTCTGCAGTCATCTTTTTCTTCCAGTAGAGTTCATAAAGAAGCTCTACTTTCTGCTCCTTGGTTTCTCATTTATTTCCTAGTAGAGCTTTGGCCAAATGGAGTGAATGAAAGTCCCATTACAGCTCTTTTATTTATTCTTCCGGCTCATGTTGGGCTGACATTTTAAAATTCAGTGTGAATTGGAAATGGTCTCTCTCTCTTTTTCATCTCTGGTTAGTATCAAGCTTGTATGAGATGCCCATCATCTGTCTTTGATAATTTTCTCACTTTGGTGATTTCAGCAGCTATTGCAGCAGTGCAGTGCAGTTTTCACACTGGAATTTCATCCTTGTAAGAAAACTTCTCCAGGTCTCTGAGGCTCCTGCTGTGATTCAGTTAGTTCACCAAAGCCAGTATGCTGTTCAGGCTGGTCCTCTATATCCTGTAGCAACTGTTTTTGCTGTTCTTTTTCATTTAGATTTCAGTTTTATACAGTTGTTATAGGCACACAGTTTAAAGAATCAGTCTCCCACTTCCTCTCCCAGAGAGGTGACCACAACTGACCTAGTTAATTCTCTGATGCTTCTCTCCATGTGTGCAGGGCCACTTGAGTTTTTTATTCCAGGCATCATCTATTACTGATTTCCTACTGGGTGAGAAAAGCCTTAGCTCCTCACTCCTATCCTTGCCAACAGTATTCACAGTGTCTCTTTCTCCCCAAATTGTTAAAGCCCAGCTTACAGGGTTTACTTCTTTTATCTAAGGAGATGCTCCTCTCAAACCCAACTTATGATTCTCTGGGGAAGGGTGGGAGAGGGATAGTTAGAGAGTTTGGGATTGGCATGTACACTCTGATATACTTCAAGCGGATAACCAGCAAGGACCTGATGTATAGTATAGAAAATTCTGCTCAATATTATGTAACAATCTAAACGGGAAAAGAATTTGAAAAAGAATAAATACATGTATAGGTATAACTATACCTATTTATTCAGGTATAACTGAATCACTTTGTGATACATCTGAAACTAATACAACATTGTTAATCAACTATACTCCAATATGAAAGAAAATGTTTTTTATTAAAAAAAAAAAGAAAATGTTCCTCTCAGTTGAGCCCTGAAATGTACTCTAAGTGCTAGACTGTAATTATCTTGTTCCCTATCTGCTTTGTTTTCTATGTACTTATCACAACATAACCACCACCTCACCCTACCCCGGCCCAGCTTTCTCCCAGGTACATCAACACCCTTGTAAAATGATTCATCTGGGAGTTCGGTCACTGCCATCCCCAGGAGAAGCTTTCTCCCAGAGCTGCTGACGCCATATCTAAAGTCGTCTCTTCTACTCCAGAGGCACACGTCTCAGGATCAGTCTCCTTCACAACCACCCCGGACATTTCTTTTACCTCTCCTTTACCTGAGTCCCTTTTCTTAGACCCAAGCTTTTTTCCTTCTTGGTTTATTCCCTTGTTTTGATCAAGCACAACCTGTAATAGCTTCCTGAGATAGGGTACATATGAAGTAAATATTTTTAACAACTTGAACATCTAAAACTATGTTTATTCTCATTTGAATATCAGCTGTACATAGGATTCCATACTAGATACAATTTTCCCTGAAAATTGTGAAAACATATACTCCTTCCGATTTCCAGCATTGCTATGGAGAAGTTAGAAATTCTAATTATTGAGCTTCTGTATGAAATTTAATTTTTCTCTCTGAAAGTTTTTGTGATCTTTTCCCTATCCCAAATATTTTGAAACTTCATGATTGTGTATGTTGGTGTGAACTTATATTCATTCTTGGTACTATTGACTGAAATTTGTCCCCTAATTATTTTTTCTAAAAGACTTATGAGAAAATATTCATCTTAAAAATATTTATTATCTTTATATGGAAATGACAATTGGGCTGGGTAAAAAAAATTAATGGATTCTTTTTTCTATTTTTTTAATTGTGGTATAAAAATATCACATTCAATTTTCCATCTGAACCATTTTTAAGTATACCGTTCAATATTGTTATATATATTCACAGTGTTGTGTGACAGGTATGAGAACATTTTCATCTTGTGCACTTGAAGCTCTTCACTAATTAAACATGATTTTCCATCTGTTTTCCTCTAGCCCCTGCAACTGCCTTTCTACTCTCTGTTTGTGTGATTTTTAACTGCTTTAGACACTTTCTCTGAATGGAATCATACAGATTTGTCCTTCTGTGACTGGCTTCTCTTGCTTGGTATAATATCTTTGAGATCCATCCACATTGTAGCATATGAGAGAATTTCCTCCTTTTTTAAGGCTGCATGCAATCTCAAAGCGAAGAGTTGACTCATTTGAAAAGACCCCAATGCTGGGAAAGATTGAAGGCGGGAGGAGAAGGGGAAAACAGGATGAGATGGTTGGATGGCATCACCGACTCAATGGACATGGGTTTGGGTAAACTACAGGAGTCGGTGATGGACAGGGAGGCCTGGTGTGCTGCAGTTCTTGGGGTCGCAAAGGGTCGGACACGACTGAGTGACTGAAGTGAACTTAACTGAACTAATATTCCATAGTGTATAGTATTTGCTGTGCTATATCATTTCACATAAGGTATTTGAGTATCTGTGGATTTGGTATCTGCAGGGACTTCTGCAATCAATCCCCTGAGGATTCTGAAGGATGACTGTATATTTTACATTTTTTATTTGTTCATCCACCAATGGACATTTGGGTTGCTTTCACCTCTTGGCTATTATGAATAATGCTGCAATTAACATAGAAATGCAAATATGTCTTTGAGATCCTGCTTTGAATTTCTTTGGAAATTTACCCAGAAGTGGAATTGCTGGATCATAATTCTATTTTTTGTGTATTGAGGAACCTTCATACTGTTTTCCCCAGTGCTGTCACCATTTTACATTTCCACCCACAATACAAGGGTTCCGGTTTCTCTGCATCCTCAGGAGCATTTGTTGTTTTCTGTTCTTTTTATAATGGCCATTCTAATAGCTGTATTCCTCTTTTCCTGAGGTCTTTGTAGGAGTTGTTCAGCCCTCATATGTGACTTGAATTTGTCCTGAATTATTTCCTTATAAGAGTATCTGTCTTTTTACCTGCCTACCCCTCAAAAAATTAACTCTAGGATCAGTATCCATCCTAGAGTTGACTTTTCTTTGTCATCATTTCAAAGAAATTATCGTGTGTCTTCAACCCATACATTCAAACCTTCATTAATTTCTGGAAAGTTGTCTTGAATTATATCTTTAAGTGATTTTTCTGTTTTTCCCCCCATTTTTCTTCTTTGCACACTTAAATTATTTGTATTTTCACCTGCCTTCCATATCTATGCTTTTCTGCCTAATCCTAATTTTTTGCATTTCTTTGTCATTTTGCTCACTTTTTTCTCCTGTCACCTGTGATCTTTACCCTGATTTTAGCAGTGCTTATTTCCCTGTTGTTGTTTCCAGTTTGCTTTCACTTCTGGCCCACGTTTACTTGTTTTCCTCCATTTCTCTTTTGAGCTCTGCCAATTCATGTCTCATCCTTTTTAGTTGTCTCAGTATCTATTATCTGAGCTCAGTAAATTTTTGGAAATCATGATGAAATACTTGGTTATACCTTTCCACTGTTCTGCGGCATTTTGTTTTCCCCTGGTGAGTGTTACTCACCTGCCCCTTTCCTCCTTCTAAATCTCAGTGTCTTTGTGTGTAGACTGTGCTTTTTCCTTTGGGGTTACTTCCCCTCGGGTAGGGTGAGCTTTCTTGGATCAGAAAGAGGTTAATGCTGTGTTGCAGGCCAGGAAGAAACCTAGTGAGATTTCAGTCTTTGCTTTCCCCTAGCCACTGGATCTGGGTACTATAGGGCTATTCAAACGGCAGAGACTCTCTTTTTGCGCCTCATGGGGAACACTTTCCTGCAAAAACCAGGCCAGCGAAGCTTCCTCTGCCATCACCCATTAACATATTGACAAGAACTAGAAAGGACTGGGGAGGGGTGGGTATGAGAGAGGGAAGAAGAAAAAACAGGAGGAGGAGGAGAAGGGGAAGCAGGGAGGACAAGGGAGAGAGAGCACATTCCAGTACTTGGCATCTCTTGGTTGGAAGGGACAGCCCCCAGGGAGGTAAGTCTTGAGCAGGAAGGGGAAGGTGGAGCATGGATCTGACCTCTCTGCCCTCCAGGGTGACCACGTGTGGCTGAACCCCACCTCTGCCGACAAGACCAGGGTGGCAATCGGGGGCATCATCAAAGAGACCAAGCCTGGCAAAGTTTTGGTTGAAGATGATGAGGGCAAGGTGAGTATGGCCACACACCCCTCAGAGGCTCAGCCTTCTCAGCTCCTGTCCAGAACCCTGAGCCCCCCCCTTCTCTGGTGCTGCTGCCCACAGCCAGGATTCTGGAACCCAAGTCTGGCCCAACCACGTGGCAGGAGAGACCACAGGGGGGTCCTGTCACGGTGGGCATTGTGTGTCTGTCTAGGGAACTGTCTCTATAGGGAGGAAGCAGGGACCAGGTTGGAAGATGGAAAAATCAGTTAGGGGAGCAGGAGAGAGTGAAGTGGGAAAAGGGCTGGGGCAGAGAAGGGGAAGGGCCGGAAGCTTGTTTTCAAGGTAATGCAAGGTGAGCAGGAAGGACAAGAGAAGCGAGGGTGGGAGAGGTGCATGAGAAAGATGCCTGGAGGGCGGCCCCCAGCACATGAGGAGGAGAAGGAGACCCATCTTACATGAGGAAGGCAGCCCAGATAAGAGAGTAGGAAGCTCAGGATGACCTGTTGGGGAACCAGCTCAGTCACCTGTCAGGCTGGGGAGGAACAGGGGAGGGGCAAAGAGGAAGGACTTACAGATTGGGGCCTCCAGCTGGTCACTGAGGTCCTCCCTGGGCAGCCCTCTTTGCTGAGGGTCTGCAAAGTGAAGCATATAGAGACTTGGCCTCCAGGGAGAAAATTCTAGAGTGTGACCTGTGAGTCCTATCATATGGAAGCCAGTCAAATATTAACAATAATGTCTCCTATTTGCAAAATGACATAACATCATTTATTAAAAAAAAAAAAAACACTTGCACACTTTTATTTCAGCCATCTGTGAGACCCCAGCTGCAAGCTGCCCCAATCCCAATTGTAGCCATATCTAACTCCTGGCTCCACACACCTCTGACCCTGGTCTGAACTTCACGCTTAGCCCCAGTACACACTGACCCCTGGCCCTACACACATGCTGACTCCAGCCTTGGCTTGACTCAATCCTTTGACCTTCACCACAGACCAACCCTGGCCAGGTGTGGGCCACCAGGTCAGCTGGTTCATTGAGGACATGGAGGAGAGTTTGGCCCTGGCAGAGGTCACCTCTCAGGAGAGCCTGTGCCCTTTGTTCCAGGAACACTGGATCCAAGCAGAGGACCTTGGCACCCTCAGCTCCATGCACCCCAATTCAGCTCAGGGCGTGGATGACATGATCCGCCTGGGGGACCTGAATGAGGCGGGCATGGTGCACAACCTCCTGATCCGCTACCAGCAGCACAAGATCTACGTGAGTCTCCCTTGGCCTTGTGTGCCCCCACGGCATGCTTGGGCCACACATGCTGACCTGGCTTGGGAAGCAAACCATGCCCATGCTCCACACGAGCAAGTGACCCTGAACTAAGGTCCAGGAGGACTCCGAGTGCTACGACGGTGGCCCAGCCTCACTGAGGCCCGTGTGGGAGGCAGCTGAAGACTTGCTTCATACATTCAGTCTAGTTTCATTGAGCCTCTTCTAAATACCAGTTCAGTTCAGTTCAGTCACTCAGTCATGTCCAATCCCTTGCGACCCCATGAACCGCAGCACGCCAGGCCTCCCTGTCCATCACCAACTCCCAGAGTCCACCGAAACCCATGTCCATCGAGTCGGTGATGCCATCCAACCATCTCATCCTCTGTCATCCCCTTCTCCTCCTGCCCTCAATCTTTCCCAGCATCAGGGTCTAAATACCAGACAGAGCACTAAACATTAGCCACAATGTTAATGTTAGTGCTAAACAGAAACCACCTCATTTAATGCTCTTGTGAAGGCATCCTCACCCAGGAGCTCTTGCTCTTGGTGAGCTTCCTTTCCAGGTGAAGGATCTGAGCTGCCAAGAGTCTCATCTCTCAGCCCAGAATCAGTCCCCGCCTCCCTGCCAGAGTCAGCCATACCTGGCGCCCTTGCAGAGTGGCATCTGAAGTCAGCACCGATCCTCAGATTAGGGGCCACTAACCACCTCCTCCCTTCCCCAGACGTACACAGGCTCCATCCTGGTGTCGGTGAACCCGTTCCAGGTGCTGCCCCTCTACACCATGGAGCAGGTGCAGCTATACTACAAGCACCGTGCGGGCGAGCTGCCGCCGCATATCTTTGCCATTGCCAACAGCTGCTACTTCAACATGAAGAAGAACAAGAGGGACCAGTGTTGCATTATCAGGTGAGGTTCTGGGTGGGCCACCCACCATTTCTGAGCATCTCGTAAAGGAGGGAGCATCTCCTCTCCCCAGCCCTCTCCAGACCAGCGTGCGACTTAGAGGCCCTGAATCAACGAGCTCCCCCTGCGTCTGGCATCTGTGGCCCCTCCACCCTGAACGGTCCCTCCGAGGCGTCCTTCCTTCAGAACCTACTCTTCTCCTATCATCAGGGACTGAACAGCCCCAGCCTGCTGTGAATGTTTTCTGAGACAAGGAAGAAAGAGTGGGGCTGGGTTGGTTTAGAAATGGGACCCAGGATAGGCACTTGGGGTGCAAGGATCAAACAGGTGAGATCCCTCAAAAAAAAACCTCAGGAGGACTTCCCTGGTGGTCCAGTGGTTAAGACCCCCTGCTTCTAAGGTAGGGGGCTTGGATCCAGCTGCTGTTGGGGAACTAAGATCTCACATGCTGCTGCCAAAAATAAAAAACAAAAATGAAACAACTTTAGGCAGATCTCAGAGAGGATGGCTCTCAGGCTGCTGGACGGAGAAGGGATGTGTCCCTCTCCAGTCCAGATGGTGATCCTAACTCAGAGAGAGACTCACTGCCTGGCCTGGCTTCTCTGCCTCCTGCCCTCCTGGTCCTCATGGAAGAGAGGCTGAGCAGGAAAGGAAGGGGGAGAGGAAATTTGGCTCCAGGGCTCCTTGCTTGGGGCTCTAGTAAAGTCATCTCTTCATTCATTTGTTTATTCATTCAAGATTCTGCTGTGCTCCGATTGTGTGTCCTTCTCTGTCCTAAGATAGCTAGACAGCAGCCAAGGAAAGGGACTAAAATCCCTGCCTCGTGGAGCTTACGTTCTAGAAGGGGAGACAGGCAATAAATAGACAAATTGTTTTGGCAGATAATAAGAACTTTGAAGAAAAACACTGCAAGGAAAGAGAGTAATGGGGTCACTGCCTTAGGTGGAAGGGCAGATTGGATTCGCCTCTCTGAGGAGGGGCCATTGGAACAGATCAGAACGAGGTCCTACAGTGTAGGTTGTCCTGTTTCATGCTCTCAGCAACTCTCTGAAGTAGATACTCCTATTCCTGTATTCCTGTTGGGGAGACCTCCCACCAGAGAGGTTGATATTCTCTCCTAGTGACAAGCTGTGAAGCAGGAACCTTACACCCAGAGCTCTGGAAGAGGAGGCAGGGAGGTGGCCTGGCCAGGAAGCTTCACCCCCAGGACCACAGGGCTGCAGAAGAGCCCAGAGCACCTGGGACATGAGCGAGGCCCCCGAGCCCTCTGCCCTCAGCGTCATCTTCCCATGCAGGGGCGCCATGTGAAGCATCACCCTTTATGTGACACCTTCACTTGTGTCAGGGAAGAGGAACACTTGGATCAAAACTTCCTAAAAACTTAATATATTTCAGATGAAAGCGTGTTTGTCTGGAGTTTGCTTCAGTATAACACAAGAGGGATGTCCCTGGAAGTCCTGTGCTTTAGAATTTGTGCTCTCAATGCAGGGGCTGCAGGTGTGATTCCTGGTCAAGGAACTACCATCCTGCACAGTGTGGGGGAAAAAATTGTACAGGATGGGAATCAAGATTGGTCAGGAGTTGCAGCTGGGAATGGGACTCTAGGAGTTCATTAAGAAAACTGTAAAGTGCAGGAGTCCCCTGGGGATCTTGTGAAAATGCAGATTCTGGCTGAGTAGAGCAAGGGAGCCTTGAAGTTTGCATTTCCAGTTAGGCAGCAGGTGCTGCTGGCATCTAGGCCATACTTTTATTCGCAGCATATTGCAGCATTCTGCCTTCATTTGTAATATTTGACGTTTTCTATAATTTAAAAACGTTCATAAAAGCAACATTTCTCCCTTTATAATAGTGCTAATTACTGCAATCCTTATGCAGTAACATAAGTGTATTTTTCAATTTAAACACTCTAAGAAATTTTTATCTTTATACTGATTAATTATTTTATTGTTAAGGTTTAAAGCATGTAGTTTTATTCTGGTTTCCTCTTTAATTTATTATATTTTAGAAGAGTGCCTGTAATTTCTAAATATAAAAATACTTCCACCTTTTAACTCGATTTCTAATTTAATCACATTGTGATTAATATGTTCTATATGTTATTTACTCTGAAATACACTGACTTCTTTTACAGCCCTATTACTTGGTCAACTGTGTGACTATTTTATGTCAGCTTCAAGACATTTATATGTTCTTTGTTAGCTCATGAGTCTATAAATAATTATTAGTTTAAGTTTATTAGTGCTTTTTATATATGCTTTAGATTTCTGATAAAAAAAAAAGTTTCAAAAACCTCCTTTTAGTTTCCACAAAGTTGGCTTTGTGTATTTTCAGGCTGTTATTAGGTGCATACAAATTAGTGATATTGATATTCAGGGAATGGTTTCTTTTATTATGTAATGCCCTATTTTTTCTATTAATGCTTTTTTCCTTGCTATATTTTGTAGTAATATTTTGTCTATTTTTTGGTTATTTGTTTTTTTCCCAAACTCTGTGTGAGCATAGTGTTTTGGCTAGTTTTTCTGATTACTATTTTATGGCATATATTAATGCTTTTTTTCTTCCAGTTTTATTGAGATATAGTTGATATACAGTTAATTATAAGTTAAGTTTTGACATACAGTTAATTATAAGTTAAGTTTAAGGGGTATAGCATAATGAATTGACATACATCATGGAATGATTATCACAAGAAGTTTAGTGAGCATCCATCATCTCTTACAGATACAAAATTAAAGAAACAAAAAAAATGTTTTTCCTTGTGATAAGAATTCAGGATTTTCTCTCTTAACAACTTCCATATGTGATGTGCTAATTACATTTATCATGTTGTAGTTTACATGATAAATGCTAGGTAGAGTATTTTGTGTTGTATGTTTTCCCTTCTACTACTTTAAATATATTGTGCAACTCCCTTCTGGCCTGCAGACTTTCTGCTGAAAAGTCAGTTGATAGCCTTTTGAGAGTTCCCTCGTACATCACTGTTTTTCTCTTGCTGCTTTTAATATTTTCTCCTTGTCTTTAATTTTTGCTGCTTTAACTACAATTTGTCTTGGTTGGGTCCTCATTGGTTGATCTTGATTGGTACTCTGTGTTTCTGTACTTGGATGTCAGTTTCCTTTCTGAGGTTGGGAAAATTTTTAGCTATTATGCCTTCAAATATGTTCTGTGCCCACTTTCTCTCCCTCTTCTCCTTCTGGGACCCCTATAAAGTGAACATTAGTATTCTTGATGTTGTTCCAGGAGTCTCTTAACCTGTCCTCATTTCTTTTCATTCTTTTTTTCTGTTGAGCATCAGTGAATTTCACTGCAGTTTCAGCTTTCTGGTCCATTTCTATATATCATCTGATCTACTGCTGTTTCCCTCTCTGATATTTTTTAATTTGGTTATTGTATTCCTCAGATCTGTTTGGTCTTCTTTATACACTCTAACTCTCTGTTAAACTTCTTACTGTGTTCATGCATTTTTTCTGAGTTCTTTTAGCATCTTTACAGTCATTACCTTGAGCTCTGTCTCAGGCAGATTATTTGTCTCCACTTTACTTAGCTCTTCTGGAATTTTTTCTTGTTCTTTTGTTTGGAACACATTCTTCTACTGCCTCCTTTTGTCTAATTTGATGTTTTTAGTTCTATGTATCTGTTAGGTTGGTTACAATTCCTGACTTTGGAGAAGTGGCCTTTTATAGGAGATAGCACACTCTGATCACCAGAGCTCTATGCCCCCTATATGAGTGACTTGGGTCATCCACTGTGGTGGGCTGACTACCAAAGGTGATCTAGTAGGTGTGACTGGCCCCTGGTCCAGTTTGTTGCCAGGCCCTGCCTCATATGACAGCTGGCGAGGCCTTGTCACAAGGCTGCAGGCTGCAGAACCCTGAGGGATCCTAGGGCTAGTGGTGAGCAGGGCAGAGTTCTAGAATGGGTAGTTGCCGGCCTGGGAATCCCAGATCCAGTGTTGGCCCACTGATGGGTGGGGCCAGCTCCTGACATGGCTAGCTGCAGGGTCTGGCATGTCCCAAATCTAGCTTTGTCCTGTTGACGAGTAGGGCTGTGCCTTGGGGTGTCCTGGTGCTAGTGCTGGCTCACAGTGGGTAGAACTGGATTTCCAAGCTGTCTCAGAGCTGGTGTCAGCCTGCTGGTAGGCAGGATCCAGGGGTTTTCAAGGTTGGTGTTGGCCTGATTGTGGATGGGGACTGGAGTCCAGGGGGTTCTGAGGGTAGTGCCAACTCACTGGAGGGTGAGGCTGTGTTCTGGGTCCTCTAGTGGACAGAGCCATGTCCTTCCTGTCCAACGGTGTGCTCTGGGGGTCTTAAGGTAGCAGGCCTGCTATGGGTGGAGCTGTGATCTGGCCCTGCTCATTGCTTGGCATGTGATGTTCCAGCACTGGTACCAACAGGCTGGTGGGCAGGGCCGAATCCAGGCTGAATAAGCTAGAGGGAGGATTCCACCCTAGCACTTTGGAGCACCAGTGCCCATGTGGTCAACAAGCTCCACAAAAAGGCTGCCTGCAGTGTCTGTGTCCCAGGGCGAGCTGCAGTTGCCTCCTGTCTCCAGGAGGCTCACTAGGACCAGCAGGCAGGTCTGACCCAGGCTCCTTTCAAATCACTGCTTCTGCCCTCGGTCCTGGAGCACGTGAGATTTTATGTGTACCATTTACAAGTGGAGTCTCCATTTCCCACAGCCCTCTGGTTGTCCTGAAAGTAGGCCCCACTGACCCTCAAAGCTTCCTCACTCCTTGGGGAGAACCTGTGTGGTTATACTTCTCCCGTTTGTCGGTCACCTACCGGGGGTGTGTGTCTCGACTACACTGCATCTCTGCCCCTCCTCCGACTGTCTCCTTGTGGCTCCTTCCTTTTTGCTCTTGTTTTTCTTTGTTTAAGTTGATATATTTTAACTGTGAGTTAAATATATTTTATCCTTTAAACATAATGCCATGTAACATTTAGTCCTGAGACAACGAAGTAAACATCTTTTGTTTGCTTTTTTGTTGTTGTTGTTTTTGGTTTTTTAACTTTCTTGGAGTACAGTTGACTCACAATGTTGTGTTAGCTTCAGGTTACAGCAAAGTAATTCTCATATATATCTCCACTCTTTCTCTGATTCTTTTCTCATATAGGTTATCAGAGAATGTTGATTACAGTTCCGTGCTATGGTTCTTTCTTTATGTATTATTTAAACATTTCTTTTCTGTTAGTCTTCCAGTTTTTGTCATCAATAATTTCTCTGTAAATAGTTGTAACTTTGATGTGCTCATGGGAGGAGGTGAGCTCTGGGTCTTTAAACATCACCATCTTGGCTAGTCCACTGACATAAGTAATTTTTAAAACTGTTTTTCACGTTTCACTATTATTAAATTATTATATATTCACCACGAAAATTTTCAAAATTTTCAGAAAAACAAATATTTTCAGAAAAAAATTGCTAGACACTTCTGGAAGAAAAGTCTTCCTCCACTCTCTTGGATGAATTTTACTTAATAGTACCTACATTTGGCACTTCACTTAACTAGTAAGCATTGCTTGTGTTACTGCTCTGTGCAGACCTGGATTAAGCAGCTGCACAATATTCTCTGACTAGATGGACCATAATTTCCCACATTTATGTTACTTCCAATGTTCCACAACTGCAATGACAAAAAAATAATGCTTTAAAGAGCAAGAAGCATTTGGGGAGACAGCTTTTTCTGATTTTAAGATTCTGTCTTTAGACTAAAGGCAGGATAATTCTGAAGGGGTTTGCAACTATGCCAGATTGCTTTCCCAAAGGACTGATGCTATTTCCCTTCTGTCCAGCACGACCTGGCTGCTCACAGAGACAATGTTATATCAGGGCATGGCATCACCCAGTCTTGTTCATTCATCTACGGTGACTAAATACTGAGCCAGTGACCCTGAGATGAACCAGAGATCAGCAGGACTGTGCAGTGGAGCAGAGGAGGAAAGAGGAACACACCAATAACTAGCACAAAGTTAGCAGGGGATGTCAGGGTGAACGCAGTGCAATTTCTGCACAGTGAGAGAGCATCTTTGTTCAGACTGGCCCAGAAAGTGGACCTGTGGTGGGTTTGCAGGAGAGTCAAGAGATGTTGAAAAATAGTTGTTTCATGGACTGACATACCTGTATGCCTCTTTGCAGTGGTGAGTCTGGGGCAGGGAAAACAGAGGCCACCAAGCTCATCCTGCAGTTCCTGGCCACCATCAGTGGCCAGCATTCGTGGATTGAGCAGCAGGTCCTGGAAGCCAACCCCATCCTGGAAGGTAAGCAGTCGCCCACCATACCAGCCTCCTTCCCAGGCTCTGTAGGCTGGTACCTTCCTGCCAGGTGGTGCTTGTGGGGAAGAAGGACAGAGTAAGCCATAAATTTTCAGCAACTTCTCAGGATTCCCCAGGACACAAAAGATAAGGATGGGGTGGATGGTAGTGTTGCGGCTCCCATGAAGCACAGAAAAGAAAGACTGATGGCCTTATTAGCTTTCACAGGTGTGTTTTCCACACACAGGATCTTAAGCATTCCTTTAAAAAAGAATCCAAAATAAAATCAATTTGGGAAATTCTGGGAATGGATTATTGATACACAGAAGGATCCCAAATGTATTATGCTAATAAAAGTAGCCAGACCCTCTATTTTTTTCATTTACCTGTACAAGTTAGGATGTGTGCGCAAAAAGATCTTTCTTTATGCAGTCACATCATCAAACAGCTCTATGGAATGCACTTCAGATCATATTGCAACCCAAATGCCATCTGATCTAACTTCCTTATCCACACCCTGGCTTGTGCCAGCGCTTGTCACTCTCCTTGCAAACCTGCCCTCTCTCTCTAGCCTAGTCTCTACCCCACAGCCTGAGCAATCTTTCGCAAATGCACCCAAACTCCCTCAGGAGGGTTCCTGCTTCCCTCATTGCCCGTGGGACTAATTCCGAACTTCTTAGCTTCACGTTCAAGGTTCTTTGCTACTTGGCCCCACCTGGGAATGGTTCCATCCGTCTTCCTCTGCTTTTCTCCTGTATCCTATGGTCCAGCCGAATTTCCCTTCCTGAAAGCACACTTCATGCTATCTGACCTCCTAACCTTTAGCTGCACTTTGACTTCCTCTTAGCAAACCCTTGGCCGCCACCACTGTCTGGTGTAAGCCTACCCATCCTTCAGTTCTGGACTTAGCTACATCTTCTGAGAAACCTTCCCAGAAGATCTCACTAAAAATAAAATTTCTATTCTCTGCTCCCATCGTGGGCATCATCCTCCGGCCTTTAGCCTTTGGAAATGCCAAGACAATCCGAAATGACAACTCAAGCCGCTTCGGGAAGTACATTGACATCTACTTCAACTCCAGTGGGGTGATCGAAGGGGCACGCATCGAGCAGTTTCTCCTGGAGAAATCCCGGGTCTGCCGGCAGGTAAGGCCTCTGCCTACTACCCTGGTCCTGGGGAACCTCCCCTTGCCCTAGGATGGGAATCGGGGACTGGGGAAGCTTCCAAGAGAGTTCCTTTCCATCACTCGCATACCTCTCTCCCTCCTCCTGGGAGCCCCACAGGCCTTATCTCACTGCCATTGAGCCCTGGCCTGAGATGGGCCAGGGACCCCTAAAATTGGATAATGATGGTTCGTCCCCAATATTCAAGGAAATGATAGGATTTTCTGTTTTGATTTTTCCATCTATATAATTGTCATTATTTGGTGTTTACTACTCCTCACCTCTATTAGAGTTAATTCTGAGGCCAGGTAAGTCCTCAACTGGAGGTGGGTATATCTTCAGATGTATTGGGGGCCCTGTCAGAAGGACCTAGATGACACTGTCCAAAAGACCACCTGGCCAGGAAATGAGGTGGCATATGGTTTGTATTGTCCCATGGGGCCTCATACTCACAAGGGCCCACATTTGGTTTAATGCTCTGTTGTCACCATCTTGAAATTCTTAATAACTTTTAGAGAGATTCTCCATGTTTTCATTTTGCACTGTGCCCCACAGATCAAGTAGATAGTTGTAGCTGACAAAGACCCCAAAGTATGACAGCCATATCAGCAGAGTTAACACAGCCTTGTTGGGGGTAGGATACTCCACTCATGTAATGGTATAACCCCTAACACGTGTGAGTGTGCATAAGCATGCATGCACACACACACATGAAGTTTCAGAATGGGGACATGCCACTGAAGGGGCTGGAGATGTGTATGAGAACAGGCAGACACCTGGACACTATGGCGAGCTGAAGGAGGAAGCTCACCTTTAGTGACCCCTACCTGCTGCCAGGTGTTTCCCCTGTGTTTTCTCATTAGATCTTCACAACAACCAAGCGAGACAGGTCTCTTTGTCCCCATTGTATAGATGAGTCCAGGGTAACTTATCTAGGTCCCAGAACTAGTAGAAGGTAGAATCTCTCAGACTCCAAAGTTTGCTCTCTCCAGAAGTTTATAGTTCTTCACATAATGGTTGGTGAATTCACAGAATTTGGTCCTCATAGAGACATCCCAGAATGAACAGGAGACTTCTAAAGCATATCAGAGGCAAGTCCTGTCCGTGATAACATTAAAAATTTTGCGGGATGGGGAACTTCCCTTGTGGTCCGAAGGTTGGGACTTCGTCTTCCAATAACAGGGCATGCAGGTTTGATCCCTGGTCAGAGAGCTAAGATCTCACATGCCTCGGGGCCAGAAAATGTATAACAGAAGCAATATTGTAACAAATTCAATACTTTTAAAACGGTCCATGTCAAAAAAAATTTTTTGGCATGTAAGTGGGATCGCAGAGGCGGACACGACTGAAGCAATGGAGCATGCATGCACGCACTCTCAGTAAATGTATTAGTGATGTGTAGAAAGGACATCCAATGGTTCTGAGGGAAAAGAGGAGGTCGTCTGAGGAGTGGGAAGGTGGGGGAAGAGAAACTCCCCCTTTAACACTCTATACTTGGAATTGCCTGAATTTCACAACAGAGATGTGCTCATAAATAATGTTTAAAAATGCAGAAGACCCAGCTAGGTAAACCTGTGGAAGTCAGGTCCCTGGGGGTCACGAGGTGATAGGAAGGCTTTGTCGTTGTTGTTGCTCAGTCGCTAAGTCATGTCTGACTCTTTCGAAACCCCACGAGGCTCCTCTGTCCGTGGGATTTCCCCGGCAAGAATAACTGAGTGGGTTGCCATTTCCTTCTCCGGGGGTTCTTCCTGGAGGATCAAATCTGTGTCTCCGACATCTCTTGCATTAGCAGATAGGTTCTTTGCCACTGAGCCACCAGTGAAGGCTTTACCTAGACTGTAGAGTCAGGAATTCTGAGTCAGAGAGCCTGGATCTGAATCCTGACACCTTGCTTTGCCTGTGACTCTGGACTGCGGGGGGCAGTCAGGCTACAGGAAAGTGCAAGGAGTGATTACAAGGAGTGACATTCTGGCCTCGGATGAGGACAGTGACCAGGCATGCTCATCCCTTGGGTCAATGCCAGAGCCCTGCTGGCTGGGGAGGAAGGAAACTGGGACAGGGCTGGGGCCGGGAGACAGTACCGAGGACCCAGAGCCTCAGGGAAGCTGCTTACAAGCTCCTGGAACTCCCTCCCTGCCAGGCCCCGGAGGAGCGTAACTACCACATCTTCTATTGCCTGCTCATGGGGATGAGCGCCGAGGAGAAGAAGCTGCTGTGCCTGGGGACGCCCTCGGAGTACCACTACCTCACCATGGTGAGGCTGTCTGCCCCCTCCCTGACCCTCCTCCCTTCTCCCTTCCTGCCCCACCCCTCCTCCCCTTCCCACCTCTCCCTGCCCTGCCTCTGACAATGAGGAAGAAGTAAGAAGGGCCAGGTCTTGCTCAACGTTGGTTTACAGCCTCATAAAGGCCCAGACTCTGGGTAGGCCCCTGGGCGGGGACTGGGGGCTCCCTTTTTCCCTTCTCCACTCCACCCTTCTGTGTTTGGCATACACTTTAGAACCGTCAGAGGATTACTCTTGACCATCAGAATCCTGCCCTTGTCCATGTGCTTCCTTGTTTTCCACAGAGGCTATAGTCCTGCCGCACAAGCCTCACCTTCCTTTGGTCCTAATGGACAGAAGGCTCCTGGCCAGCCCGTAGCTCCCCCCTCATTTCATCCCAGTCACCGTCCTCCTAGGTGCCCCGAGAACTTGAACTCCAGGAGAGCAGAGGCCTTGCTCAGTTGTGTCCCCACGCCTGGAACATTGCCAGACAATCAGTCTCACAAGTGGGGCTTGTGTTGTTGACAAGAGAATGAATGAGATCCAGCTCTCAACGCTCTCTCCTGCCTAACCCCTGTCTCCCCTGTCTCTGCCTGAGGCCTTCATCATCTCTTGCCTAAACCGTGGTGCTACTTTCCTACTGGGTGCCCCTTCTCCGCAGACTTGACCCCCAATCTATCATCCACCCCACAGATCTCCCATACAGGGCGCCTGACAGACAGTATTCCTGATCACAGCTCTTTGGAAGTTCCTCGTGGCTCTTTGGCAAGGTTTCCAAGTCCCTCCAGATCCCACCATCTGCCAGCCTCTCCTCCTCCACATGAGTCCAGCCTCTTTGCAACCTTCTTGCCCCCCATCTCACAGCCTAGCTCAAGCTGTTACCTGCCAAAACCCTCTCTCCCTGTGCTGCTATAAAGCTCAACCTGTGGAACCAGCTCAGGTGCCTCCTCCAGGAAGCCTTTCCCCAGTTCCCAGGGCGGCTGGCCAAGCCCCCTTTTGTCTCAGCATCTGCAAAAGCCTATGACATAATCTTTCTGCCTCTTCTCCTGGATGTAACAGCATGCAGAGCAGGGCCAGCTCTCTCCATTAATGAATTCCCAGTAAGTACCCCAGTAGGTACACACAGTGAGCCTTAGAAAGTGTTTGTTAAAGGAATTAACCCATGATATTCCCCCAAGAGACTGAGGCAGGCATTACCATGGATGGTTGACAAATAAGAGGCTCAGAGAAACTGAATGAATTAGCTATGGCCACATAGCTATCAAGCTACCATAGAATTCTGGGTCTATATCACCATAATTCTGCCTTTGGAAATACCTTTGTGTATTTTATGAGCTTGGTCCTCTAGGTGGTCCCATGGGACCCACACAGAGCCATTGAAGTATCACTTACCAGGGCCCTTTGGCTGAGTCCCTGATACATCCCTGCCTTGCTGGCCCTACAATGGAGAAGGCCCCCAAAAGCTGATGTGTTCAATCTTTCAGGGGAACTGTACTTCCTGTGAGGGGCGCAATGATGCCAAGGACTATGCCCATGTCCGCTCGGCCATGAAGATCCTCATGTTCTCTGACTCCGAAAACTGGGACCTCAGCAAGTTGCTGGCCACTATTCTCCACCTGGGCAATGTGGAGTTCATGGGTAATGCTGTTTCCATCCAAAGTATACCCCTGAGGAGGAAGAATGGAGACTAGAGGAGGAAGAAATCCCCGTGGGTTCTCATCCAAAGGGCCCATCAGAGTCACAATGTGTTGGAAAAGTACATTAGGAATTTTAGCTGTAATTTTAGAGGTCTTGTGGAGTTAGGGCAGAAGATGCCAAAGCTTAGAGCCCTCCAAAGGTGAAGACATTGATCAATCATCCCAAACTTTTGGCTGGAAACCCAAAGGGTAAGCAAAGCCGTGCATGAACCCGCCAGCCATTTCTAAGCGTCCAGTTGGTCTGGAGACTCGAGTGTCCTGGCCTGTTTTGTTACTGCCCCAAGTGCCTGACAGAAGTTACTGACAATCCTCTCTGGAAGAAAGCAACAGCAACACAGAAAGACAAAAAGATGGAAAATATAAAAGAGAAAATAGGAGACCTAGAAGATACAGTGAGAAGATATAGTATACATTTAATTAGAGTTATAAAGGGAAAGAGAAACTGTGTGTGCAGCATGGAAAGACAAAAAAGATGGAAAACAGGAACTTCCCTAGTGGTCCAGTGGCTAAGACTCCCTGTTACCGATCCAGGGTGTCCAGGTTCGATCCTGGGTCAGAGAACTAGATCTCACATGCTGCAACTAAGAGTTCACATGCCACAACTAAAGGACCCGAATGCCGTAACAAAGACCCAACGCAGCCAAATAATAAATAAGTAAATATTTTTTAAAAGATGGAAAATATAAAAGACAGAGTAAGAGACCTCAAAGATAGAGTGAGAAGATGTAGAATACGTTTAGAGTTCTAAAGGAAAAGAGAGGGTTGGGACTTAAACAACACTTGAAGGGATTATGGCTGGCTCTAGATCTAATGAAAGACACCAACTCACACAGCAGTGGAAAAAAAAGACAGATTTTTCAATAAACTCTTCCAGAGCAATTGGGTATTCATGTAGAAAACATGAACCACTATCTCGGATCATATAAGGAAATCTACTCCAGCAAGCTGTAGCTGGGTGACCAAACCGGGCACTTCTGCTGGTAAAAAGTGGGTGCTGATAAGCAGGGGGCTTCAGGACATGGAATACTATCAAACGTGATGTTGAGGAAATGAAACCAGGCAAAAGAAGGCAGAGAGCCCACACACAAAATTTAAACACAGATAGAATTAAATGCTACAGGGCTTCGCTGGTAGCTCAGTGGTAAAGAATCTGCCTGCCAAAGCAGGAGACTCATGTTCAATCCCCGATCTGGGAAGATCCCACATGCTGTGGAGCAACTAAGCTACAACAATAGAGCTTGTGCCCTAAAGCCCAGGAACAGCAGCAGCAGAAGCCCACACACTGCAGCTGGAGAGTAGCCTCCACTCTCTGCAATCAGAGAAAAAGCCAGTGTAGCAACCAAGACCCGGCACAGCAAAAAAGAGATAAATAAATTTTTTTTAAATTAAACGCTACAGAGGAATGCAGGTATTTAGACAACACATAAGTAAACAGGTAAAATTAAATGCAGTTTAGTGATTAAATCAGTGAGGGACAGGGAGGCCTGGCATGCTGTAGTCCATGGGGTCACAAAGAGTCAGACTTGACTGAGCAACTGAACAGCAACAGGGATCAGCATATAGGTAGTAAAAAGATAAGGAAAAACCAAGGAAGTGGTTTCTGTGGTGGTCAGGAGAATATTGCCTTCCGTGGAGGAGCTGGTCTGAGCAGGAAAGGTCCCAGCTGTTTGTGAAGCTCTGAGTTTGGCTTAAGTGGTTGCTTCACAATGCTGACATAGTAATTATCCGTTATAACATACCTTTGGGTTTTATGCATTTCTTAAAGCATACGCTTTAGTTTACAATTTTTAAGTCTAAAGAAGGAAAAAAAAAAAAATGACAGAAACAGCTTTCTTTCCTCCCTGCAGCTCAGCGGCCCTAAAAGGAGGGACTCAAAGGGGATGGATTGAACCAGTAGGTGGGTCAGGAGACCTGCTGAGCTGGGCCCTGCTTCATCCTTTGCTGAATGAATGAACACACCTAGGTTTCTAAGGACAGCAGAGAGGATGGAATGAGACCAATGGGTCATCCTCTCCCTTGATAGACCCCACCCGCCCCACCAGCACCAGACTTCTCCCTCCAACAGCTTCAAACTCCCCTTTGAGTCAGGATCTCAATCTGGGCAGAGGGGGACATACCCTATGAACACTGGTTAGAATCAAAATGTTGATAGTGCCCAGAGAGGTCACGACTCTCGGAGGGGGCCGGGGAGAGGCAGTGGCCCTCACCCAGGGATGGCTGTCTCTGAGGCGTGCATCTGGGACAGCCTCCCTGGGGCCTCTGTCCCATCCCTTCGGGCCACTTTGCCTCTCAGGGTCATTGCCTCTCTCTGCAGCTGCGATCTTTGAGAACCTGGACTCCTCTGATGTGATGGAGACCCCTGCCTTTCCCACTGTGATGAAGTTACTGGAGGTAACTCTGCTCTTCTGTCCGCCAGTCTCCTTTTTTTTTTGTGAGCAGCCCCAGGGCCTGGGCTGAGAGCCCTTCCCAGTCTCCAGTTCCTGCCTCCCAGGTTCTCACTCACCCTCTCCCCTCCAACTCCCCTGTGGAGCACTGCAGGCCCTAGGGGTGGGAATCATGGAGTTAATCATTAACTAAGTCCCGGAAATGTTCAGTTTGACTTGAACATGTGTTTCTTGCCCTTTCCCTGACCTTCTTGCTCTTCCACGGCCTTTACTCAACTTTCTACCCCACCCATTCCCCAGGTTGTCCCCATTCAATCAATCTGAGGCCTTTACAGCAAGACATCCTTGCCCCATATCCTGGTCCCCAGGGCTTCTCCATGAGTTGTGCTCTTCTGGGCTGATGGAATGTACTCAGACCACTCACCCTGTGTGTTATTTTTGCTGTTGTTATTTTTTGGCTTTGCCACACTGCTGGCCCTGTAGGCATTTAGGCTGTGACCGCTGATACTTGCACTTTCTATATAACTTGCAATGCAGGAAGCTCAGATTCCATCCCTGGGTCAGGAAGATCCTCTGGAGATGGAAATGGCAACCTACTCCAGTATTCTTGCCTAGAGAATTCCATGGGCAGAAGTGCCTGGTGGGCTATAGTCCATGGGATTTCAAAGAGTTAGATGACAGAGTGGCTGACACTTTCACTCTCACACAGCATGTGGGATCTTAGTTCTCCAGTGGGGGATTGAACCTGTGTCCCTTGCATTGCAAGCATGGAGTCTTAACTGCTGGACCACCAGGAAGTTTCCCCTGCACATTATTAAAGAGATCAAATAGAGCCTTGACTTGGAGGACAAGTGATGGGGCTTTGTAATCACACCCCACTAACAGATTCAGTGGGAAATTAGTAGAATCAGAAGGGGGAAAAAGCCATCACAGTAGGTAGGTACATTTTGCTGCAATGTTTTTCATGTGGTTGCAGGGTTCTTAGAAACCTTGGGGGTTTGCCAGCCAAGTCTTCTCTGTATGTGGGAGGGACTTCATCCAGACTCCTCTTGTTCATTTGGGCCTCCAGATTCCAGGCAGTAGTGACTTCGGTTGAGGTGTATTCAGATGTCAGTGGCCAGGCCTCAGAACCCTCCATGCCCACTGTTTTCCAGGGTCCACCCGATGGTGGGCCCAGTACCAGGAGACCAGCACAAGACCGGTCAACCAAGCAGCCAGCATCCTCAGGGCCCACCCAGCTGGTGCATCCTTCCCTGACACTGATATCCCAGTGCTCAGACTGACCCTGGACCAGTCCTGCCCAGCATCCTGACTCTGGTCCTAGTCACAGGCATCTCCCATCCTCAGGCTTTGGGCATGGGATGTTTGGTAATGAGAGAGCATGTTGGCACCAGGCCCTGCTCTATCAGCTGTGATGCCAGCCCCTACCTGCCTTCCAGGTGAAGGACCAGGCCCTCCGAGACTGTTTGATCAAGCACTCCATCACCATCCGCGGGGAGTTTGTCACCAGGCCCCTGAACATCACTCAGGCTGCAGACCGGAGGGATGCCTTTGTCAAGGTGCAGAGTTGTGGGAGAAGGGGCCTACATGTCTATGTATTGAGTGTAGCTCCTTTCCTGGTGAGTAGACAGCAGGAAAGGGCAGAGAGCTGGGCAAGTCCTGACTCTGCCAGTCCCCTGTCTGGTGACCGTGGGCTGCCCAGACTCTCCAGGGTGGTTTCTTGCCTTAAAGTAAGAGTGATCTCCCTCAGTAAGTCCAGTGCCTGCAGCCTTCCCAGGTAAACTTGGAGAAAGCAGCAGCCTTCCTCTCATGCATCAAAGCCTGTGGGTTCTACCCCATGTCTCTACAGGGCATCTATGGGCATCTCTTCCTGTGGATTGTCAAGAAGATCAATGCTGCAATTTTCACCCCACCTGCCCAGGACCCCCAAAATGTGCAAAGGACAATCGGCCTCCTGGACATATTTGGTTTTGAAAACTTCCAGAAAAATAGGTATGGAGGTCCCTGCACCTGCTTTCAGAAAAATGAGAGATGAGCTAAGTCCTCCCTGAGCCAACTGGAGGGCAGCCATTCCTCTCCAGACTGACTGGGAGCAGGGCCTCAACTCCACTCACAGACGCCAGGGTGAGCGCCTCAGCAAGACTGTGTCCTTCCTCAGTGAGGCAGTTCACGCACATCCCCTGGCATCCACAAGCTGTCTAGGAAAGGCCATATAGCTAACAGCATCATGAGAGTCAGGCTGACACTCCAGCATTCATCACCCATCTCAAGCTATCCACTCTTCTCACAAACTAGAATGAATTATCACGTGTGGTTAAGGTGAAAGTGGAAATCAATAACACTAATGTGACTGCATCCTTAGGTAGGCTATCATAGTAGGTGATGGGGAAGGCAGGGGCTTTGTGGTCCATCCCCAATTTTTTAGTCTGACAAGGGTAAGGTGAGGCAGGACACTTCTGACCCAGTGTCCCAGCCTGGAGGCTGAAGAGCTGGAGAAATGAAGCAGGTCAGAGAAGTAATTCCCAGCTAAGACTGTGATGAAGACTGGGGTGGAAGTAGACAGAGGCAGCAAGGGGAGCCAGGCCGTGGAGCTAGATGAGGACAGGGGAAGTATCATCAAAGGGCCAGATGAGGAAAAAGGAAGGGGGACAAGCAAGCAGGAAGTATCCTACATGTGCAAACTCGCAACCTCGCTTACCAACGTGAACCTGGTTCATTTAAAGCCCTGGGTGAGACAGAGCCTAAGTCTAGTTCTACTACCAAATGGAATTCAGGTCTGCTCACCCAAAGCACAACAAAGCCAGTCTACTGACACCAGGTTGTGGTGAAGTAAAGCATAGCACTTATTGCAGGGCCAAGAAGGAGAACAGGCAGCTCATCCAAGTTTGAGGCAGCTCAAAATCCAAATTCCTTGATGGCTTTCAAGTAAAGTTTTTTAAAGGCAATTTTAGGGGTGAGAGTCACAGGGTACATGATCAGCTTGTGGACTCTCTTCTCATTGGTTGGTGATGAGGTAATGGAGTGATGTTTAAGGAATCTTAATCATCAGCGTTCTGGTTCCAACCAATCTGGGGTCTACATGTTTGTGACCGGCATGTGGTCACCATACTCTACCTGGGCAGGGGCCTTAGTTTCTGCAAAACAACTCAAAGAGATCCATTAAGGCATATACACATCTCTTGAGGAAGGACTAGGACTCTGTTTTGTCATGGAACTACTGTTCCTTGACTGCATTGCTTCACTTCCCTGACTGGTCTTGAGTCTGCTCTTAGGACTCAGAGATGTCATAGGAGACTAAAGCCTTTTGCTACAAATGGGGGACAAGGAGGGAGTTTTGTATCTAGGAGGGCCCCCAGGGGTTCTGCTTGGTTTCGGTCCCAAGTGGAGGGTTCTGGGCACTGTCAGAGGTGCCAACGGGCTCTCCTGACCTTGGCACGCCCCTGCCCAAGGTCCTATCACCAACTGAAGGCTGAGAAGGCCCCTTGGTCAAGAGTGCAAGCACATTGGGATTGCAGGCTCCTAGGACCAGCTCACTGTGGGCAGGTGGGATGAGGCAGGGCTGGGAGAACTCAGCCCAACATGACAGAAACTCTGAGGAACAGTAAAGTAAAAAATGATTCCTATCATTGGTTTCTGGCCCTGAGAGGGGCAGCTGAGCAGACCAAGCATATCTTTGGCCACTGTGGAGGTGGAATAGTAGTTTATTTGGGGGGATCTGTCCATTTATTCAGGGACACTCTCCCCCCCCCCACCCCCTGTGAAGGAGCCACAAGCTGGGTTTGTGGCAGGGCTGCAGTCTGGGGCCCACCTGAAGGAGCAGGGCCATGTCACTCAGCACACCGTCACTCACCCAACCTGCCTCTTGCAAGGGAGCACCGAGTACTCTTGGCAACTGAAAAAAAGTTCATGACCTAAAAGTTGAGACTTATGTCTTATTCAGCATACATTCCTATAACTTCAAGCCCAGAAGACAGCATCTCAAATAATTCTGAGAAAAATGCTCCAAGGAGGCGAGGGTGGAGCCAAGATATATAGGAGTTTTTTGCAACAAAGGGAAGGTAGAACATCAACAAATTATTGTTAATAAAAGAAAACTAGATATGTCAAGTTAAGGTATTTAGCACTTTTCTGTGTATGGAAAGATGCAAGAATCTGGGTTCACTGAAATCATTCCTTTGATATGAATCTCAGATATCTGGGGCCAGCATTCTGTGTGTTCACATCCTGAGTTTCTTCAAGCTGTACTGTTGTGAGTGGCTGTAATCTGATGGGGCTTCCCCAGTGGTTCAGCAGTAAAGAATCCACCTGCATGCAGCAGATGTGGGTACAATTCCTGGGTCAGGAAGATCCCCTAGAGGCGGAAATGGCAACCCACTCCAGTATTCTTGCCTGGAAAATCCCATGGACAGAGGAGCCTGTCAGGCTACAGGCCAAAGGATCTCAAAGAGCTGGGCGTGACTGAGTGACTGACCACACAGGCAGTCTGACGACTGCTAGTAGGCCAGTATTCCTGGTCTCCATCCTGAGTTACCTCAGGGCTCATTGCAGGAGTGGCTGCAATCGCTGATGGCTACAACATCACTCCACACTGTCCAGGTAGTGGGTTAACAGACCTGAACAATCAGCCTGAGGTACCGTAAGGTTTTGCATAAATGGGCAACCCATCCTGAGGAAGAAATGCTAAGTGAGACCCAAAGGATGAACCAAAAGAGCAGGTCACAGAAAGGAGGGTCTCCATGTGTGAAGACTTAGAATGAGAGAAGGGCAGGGTGCCCTGTTGGAAGGAGGTGGCAACTCACTCCAGTATTCTTGCCTGGAGAATTTCACGGACAAGAAGAGCGTAGCAGGCTACAGTCCATGGGGTCACAAAGAGTCAGACACGGCTGAGCGACTATCACTCAGAGTCCCCTGCGTCCATTCCCTGGCAGTGTCGGGCAGGCTTTCTACTGTGTCACTGTCTGTCTGGATCCTGAAAGTAATGGGAGCTCAGGTCCACAAGGATTCAAAGCAGGGGGAGAGCTGGCTGGGGGTGGGGATCAGATCTGCACATCCGAAAGCTCTGTCTAGTGGCCATGGAGAGTGGTTGGAGGGGTGAGGCTGGAGGCAGAGAGAGCCACGAGGCGGTTGTTACTGTGCTCCAGGTAAGAAAGAAGGGTGACCTGGATTAAGGGAGCAGCAGTGGGAGTGAAAAGAAGTAAACAGATCAGGTGCCGTGTTGGAGAGAGCGTAGACCGGACTTTGGCAACTGATTGGAATTGGGGAGGAAGGAGAGGTGTCAGGTATGATGGCCTGGTTTCTGACCTGAGCCAGGGGTGATGAGTGGAGGGATCATTTCTGGAGGTGAAATGGAGCCCAGGAGGAAGAGCAAGTGGGAGGATTGGGGGAGTGTGTCTGATTGATGCAAAGGAGCCCAGCCATCAATGACGGGTCTCCAGAAGCTCATCTTACTACCAAAGCCACTTGCCCATGGGGCAGGGTAGCTACTGGACCCTTGGTCCCCCAGAGATTGTCTCCATGTCAGGACAGCCTAACTTGGCAGAGGATCCTGCTGGGGACCTAACGGAGTCAAAGTCAGGGCTTGATGCTAAGTGGAGCCTCCTCATTTCTCTGAATCTGTTTGCTGTGGGATGGAGGAGGGGATGGAGGCAGAGGCAGAGGAAGAGGGAGACTGTCTGTGGGCATGTACGGTGTTTGGGGGTGTGCTCTGTGGGTGCACATGTGTGGGGCTGTGTGCCAGGGGTTGGCTGCAGGGACAACCACGCCAACCTTGCCCCGTGTAGCTTCGAGCAGCTCTGCATCAACCTGGCCAACGAGCACCTGCAGCAGCTGTTTGTGCAGCACGTGTTCATGGTGGAGCAGGAGGAGTACCGCGCAGAGAGCATTGCCTGGGACTACATCCACTACACCGACAACCGGCCTACCCTGGACCTGCTGGCCCTCAAGCCCATGAGCATCATCTCCCTCCTGGACGAAGAGAGCCGCTTCCCACAGGTGTGCCCCTGGGCCCGCCACCCCTCAGGGGGAGACCCCATGCCTGGGAAACTCCACGGCTGCTGAAACCTCTGCCTGGGGGTTGACAGAGTAGCCCCAGCCTTTCAGCCTTCCTCTCCTTCAAGGCTCGCCTCCTGGAGGAAGGCACCTGAGTCCACCCTCACTTCTACACCTCAGCATAGATTATTTAGATTCAAGAACACACCCCCAAAGAGGGTTGGTTGAGCCTTGTGGGCCAAGGGCTGCATGGAGTGCAGGACAAGGCAACACTTTCCTTCTTGCTTTGGGGGACTCTGCATGTCTCTGGGGAGATGGACTCTCACAGGTAGTCAGTAAGAGCTCTGATCCAGACAAGGGAGATGCTCTGCTCCCTGGGAAGGCTACAGCCAGCGAGCTGGCATTCTCTTTTCCCGCCTCGGCCCTCACTCAGGCAACAAGCCCCTGCCCCCGACACATCTGCTTGCTGTATGTAGAAAGGCTCTCAGTCATTCTGAACCCAGTTGCTTTGCCCTTTGAGAGAGCCCCTGAGACCTGGGGGTGTACCCAGTGGCTGGGCTCTGGGTCCTCGGCCCATAAGGCATCTGTTCTTCCAGGGGACAGATACCACTTTGCTGCAAAAACTGAAGAGTGTCCACGCTAACAACAAGGGCTTCCTACAGCCCAAGAACATCCATGATGCCCAATTTGGCATTGCCCACTTTGCTGGCGAGGTGCACTACCATGTAGAAGGTAGGTGAAGCTCCTCTCCACAGTCCCTTCCTTCCAAATCTGGAGCACCCAGGGAGGCCATGGAAAGAAGGCTAGGTCATTTTGCAGAGCCAGCAGTGGGACAGAGGGAATGGAATGGACCAGGCATGTATGTTTGTGTTTTATTTTGTTAGTAATAGTTCTACTGAGAGATAACTCACATACCATAGAATTCACTCATTTGAAGTCTACAACTCAATGGTTTTTTAGTATATTCATAGAATTATGCAGCTGTTGCCACAATTTTAGAACATTTACATCACCCCTCAAAAGAAATCCCCATTAGGGGCTTCCCTGGCAGTCCAAAGGTTAAGATTCTATTCTTCTAATGCAGGGGTTTGCATTCAGAAAAACAAAAGGAACTCCTATTAGCAGTCATTCCTCATTGCTCCCCAATTCTTCCCAACCCCAGCAACTACTAATTTCTGTCTCTATGGACTTGCCTGCTCTGGATATCTCACATAAATGGAATCATACGCCGTGTGGCCTTTGTGACTGGCTTCTTTCACCTGACATAACGTTTTCAATGTGCATTCACATTGCAGCATGTTTCTGAGTTTTGTTTCTGTATACTGCAGTACCACCTTCCACAGCACAGATATGCCACTGTTTGTTTATCCCTTCATCAACTGATGGATATTTTTGGCCATTATGAGTAATGCTGCTATTAACACTCATGTACAAGTTTTTATGTGGACATATGTTTTCACTTCTTTTGGACACATACCTAAGAGAGGAATTGCTGGGTCATATGGTATTTCTATTTAACTTTTGGGATAAGCACCAAACTGTTTTTCAAAGTGGTTGCACCATTTTACATTCCCATTAGCAATGTATGAAGTTTCCAATTCCTACAGCTCCTTACCAACACATGTTAATTGTTTTCTTTTTTTTTTTTATTGTAATTATCTTATCAGATACAGAATTTGCAAATATTTTCTCCTATTCTGTGGGATATCTTTTTGCTCTCTTGGTAGTGAAAGTGTATATGCTGAGAGAAGGCTGGGCATGTTTTTAAAGATTTTATTTGTCTGTTGACTGTGCTGGGTCTTCATCGCTGCACGTGGGCTTTCTCTGGCTGCAGCAAGCAAGGGGTCCTCTCTCCTTGTGGCGTGGTGTGAGGGCTTCTCAGTGTGGTGGCTTCTCTTGTTGCAGAGCACAGGCTCTAGGGTGCAAGGGCTTCAGTAGTTGTAGCATGCAGGCTCAGTAGCTGTGGCATGTGGACCCTAGAGCTCACAAGCCTCGGTAGTTGTGGCGCGTGGGTTTAGTTGCCGCATAGCATGTGGGATCTCCCTGGACCAGGGATATAACTCATGTCTCCTGTATTGACAGGTGGATTCTTAACCACTTGACCACCAGGGAAGTCCCAAGCATAGTTTTGATTGGAGAAATAAGGGGCTGAGGCAGTCAAGCTGCAGGTGTGCTTAGAAAAATTGGAGAGGTGGCCAGTGTGTGCTGCGATCGGGAAAATGAGGTGGAAAGCCATAGGTCACTCTGTGTGGCTTGTAAGGAGAACTGAGGAGCTACTGTGGTCTAACTGGGAACTTGGAGTCAGGGATGCTCCAAGTACACTTTTCAGGTGGAGGGACAAGGCAGCGGGAGAGGCTGCTGTTTTCACATGGATGAAGGCAGGTGTTCCTAAGTCAGGGGATTATTTCTGTTGGAGAAATGAGGAGGTAAGGGGGCTCCTTTATAACTCCCACCAGATCCTGGCTTTGGGGTTTTTCCAAAAGCTGGGAGACCAGAGCTAGTGGGACTTCAGAATTCCAGAACACAAAGACACTGCGCACATCAACCTCCATGGGCTACTCAAGGCCAAGTTCTAGTTTTTGAAGTGACCTGAAACTTCCATGTATGCTAAGATTAAGGTAGTTTCTTTAGGCTTTCGGAGTACAAGATTCTGTGAATGCTCCTTAAAACTGAGCCTGCTGGGTTTTTTTCAGTGCCCTACTATCTTCATGACTTAAGTCCTATTACTCTGTCTTTTGGCGGGGATGGGGTGGGGGAAAGTTTGAGCCCAGGTGTGCCTCAATCATCCCCCCAAAAGCACCTGGGGCGGGGAGGCTCTGTCTAAACCTGGAAGGGCACAAGGTAACATCACGTGCCTGCTCGCCCCATCTGCAGAAGGCAGTCTTCCAGCACAGAGCTGGGAGAGGGGCTTATGTGCCAGCCTACTCTTCAGGTGGCCCTGGAGCCTGGCAAAGCAAGCTTGCTCTCACCACTCTCAGCTTGGTGAGGGCGGCTCGGTTCGAGCTCTTGGCCCAGTCTTCTCCTCTGACAGCACCTGCTGGCAGAGAGGGAATCAAGCTTCCTTCTTCCACCATTGACATGGCCTTCCCAGACCTCACACGAGGCTGTGCAGGCATGCACAGAGCACCCCACTAAAATGGGGTGACTTAAAGGGAGAAGACAAGTCAGAGTTAGGTGCTTGTGAGGTGCAGCCCTCAGCAGGCCCCCAGTCATCATCTGGCCTGGTTTTGAGAAGCAACCATCCTCTAGCGCCTTCTTCTTACAGTTCTGTGCCCTGCCTCAGGCAGGTCCACTCTCTTCCACGGCGGGAGGGGAGATGTGCTGTCCACTCACCCCCAGACTCACACTGTCCACTGGCCAACATTGCCATAGCAAAGTTCCACAGAGAGGTACAGGAATGCATTTTCTCACAGTTCCAGAGGCCAGGAGTCCAAGACAAATGTCAGCAGGACCAGTTCCTTCTGAAGTCTCTCTCTGGCATCTTTCTTGTTCCCGTGCATGTCTGTGTCCTAATCTCCTCTTCTTATAGGACACCACTCCGACTGGATTAGGGCCCACCCTAACAGATTCATTTTACCTTCATTACCTCCTCAAAGGCCCTCTCTCCATACACATTCTAAGGTACTATGGGTTAGGGCTTCAGCATATGGATTTGGGGAGCAAACAGCTCAGCCCATACACGCCCCCCTCCCTAACTTCTAACGGCTCACTCCTTAAGCTGGAGGGGCCTCTGGCTCTAGTACGTTGTTCCAAGGTCCCAGAGCAAGGTTGGTAGAAGGGCCTTGGGGCACCCAGGCCCTCAGGGTCTCCTTAATAAGCGACAGACATGCTTCATTCCCAACCCTCCTCTGTCCAGGCCCATGCATGTGTCTGCACACATGTGTTCACTCAAGTGCTCCCGTGTATGTGCACACACTGCCTGTGGGCACACATTCAATTCCAAGACCAATGCAGTTTACACTTATAATGAGGAAAGAAATATGTCTTAGGACCTCATAATCAGCAAGTCACCTACCCCTGCCCCCTATTCGTGAAGCCAGGAAGCCAAGTGGTGTTTAATTTCTTCCCTTTCCCCGTTTCGGGCTTCTAGGAAGAGCAAAACAGCTGTTTCCCCCCTAGCTGGTTCCACAGGGACATGTGAAGCAGCTGCCCCGGCACAGACTGGCTGCTGGGCGAGGGTCGGCCTCCCAGCAGGAGTGGCCAGGACTTCCGTCCAGATTGCAAGCTCCCTGGACGCAGCCAGCCTGCCAGACTTTCAGAAGTTACGGGGATGGGCAGGCTTCTGCACTTTCTCCTTTTCCTTCTCTTCTGTTTTGGCTCCTTCATGTAGACAAGCAGTTGGCTCAATCAGACTTGCCCAGGGTTCCCCAGAAATTCAAAGCCCTGACGAGAATTCATAGGCACCACCCTCGGGGAGGTCTGAACCGCACAATGAATGGACACTCCATCCGCTGTGCTGTTGGTGGGTTCCCAGGTGGACGTGGCAGTGACAGCGGGGGCTGGGAGGGGAAGGGACTCGCTCCCACCTGTGGTCCACCTGGGGAGCTGCGGCTGATGGAACAGATGGGAAGGCCTCAGGCTTCCCTGAGCTGAATGACAGGGCCCAGGTGAAGGGCCACACAGGGCAGATGGGAGCCACGTGTGGGTCAGTAGGGCCTCCTGGAATAGATGATGCTTGAGCTGTCCTTGAAGCACAAGCCAGCATTATCCTGGAGGGCTTAGGAGGGAAGAACTCCTCAGAGATCTCTTGGGGGCCATAGGCCATCAGGAGAGGGGAGACCCCTGGGGTGGGGCACAGGTACTAGGGGAGAGAGGAGACCCCCTGGGGTGGGGTGCAAGCTTGGATGAGGGAGTTTGGGGTGGGGATGGTGGGTTGTGGGGGCTGCAGGGTGCAGATGTGACATGACTTGGTGCTGAGCGGAGGCACTGGCTGCCAAGACGTGGGGAGATGGAGGCTGGCATGGTGGCCTCCTGTCTGCACCTCACCCTCCCCTCCCCAGTCTGAGCTGGCGGGGGTTGGGGGGCTCTGCTTCCCCGCAGGCTTCCTGGAGAAGAATCGGGATGTACTGAACAGGGACATCCTCGCCCTGGTCCACTCCTCCCAAAACAAGTTCCTGCGGGAGATATTCGGGCTGGAGTCCAAGGAAAGCAGGCGGGGCCCTGGGAGCCTCATCCGGGTGAAGGCCGGCAGCCAGCAATTCAAGGTGGGCTCTGGTGGCCCTGCTCTGCCCCGGGCCTGGGGGGCAGACAGGCCTGGAGAGGCCCCGCTGCCTGGGGTCTGGGGTCAGAGATTCTCAATTGGGGTGCAGAGGTAGTGAAAAGGGGGTGAGGTGCTGTGGGGGTGGTGGCCAGGGGCAGGAGCACGGGACTCTGCCTGCTTCCCAGTGAGTAGTGGTCTCTGTAGAACTCACTGAGTTTGTTGGTGTTATTTCTTTCTATACTGGTCTCTGTGTGTTTTATGGGGGGTGTGGAGTATGTGGTGTATGCATCTTTGTGCGGTGTCTAGTATGTGTGTGTGGTATGTAGAGTGTGTGTGTGTGTGTGTGTGTGTGTGTGGTGTGGGGTATATGTGTGTTTTGTGGGTGTGTGTGTGTGTAGATGGGGTGTGTGTGTGTGTGTGTGATGTGGTGGCAACAGCCCTGGTCCAGCTGATCAGGGAGGAGGGAGCAGTGAGCCCCTGGCACTCCTCAGAGCAGCCTAGGACATCATGGCAGGGTGGGGGTCTCCCTTCACCCCTTAAGAGTGACTGTTCCAGAAAAGCCCTGTGAGTCATCTGAGGAGGAGCTCCCCCACCCCTGGGCCAGGAGATGAGGCTGGCGCACTGGCACAGGAGCTGTGGGTGCAGGCATAGGAACCCCCAGCCCCCTAATCCATGCTGTAGTCAGCTCTGGCCACACTGAGGTGCCCCACCCCCACCTCCATGGGCGCTCCTAACACTTTAGTGCCCAGGGCCCACAGCATGACCACACGCAGAGCCAGCCAGAGAGGCACCGAGGAGCTATGAGGCTTGTAGGAACTACCCAGGTCTGGAACCAGGTGTAGCTGAGCCAGACATTCTGCCCTCATGGAGCCACGCTGGACTCCACAGCTGAGGCCAGAGCACAGCCTGGTCCTGGCCCTTTGGGGCCTCCAAGGTTTGTCCACAGGTTTCAGGGAGCAGGAACAGGAGGAAAATGCATTATTTTAAAACCAGGAGAATGCTGCCAATTGTTACTATACCTGCCAGGGATTCCATCCTATTCTCAGAGGCATTAAAGCATGAATTCGAATCTCCAGACTGATGCAATTTGGCAGTACATATGCCAAATTGCTCAAGCGCATTTGACCTTGGAAAAATTTGATCAAGGAGCATCACCCAAGATCAGTATGGCACAAAAACACACACTACTCTTGGCCCAAGGCTTTCCCGATGGCTTAGTGATAAAGAATCCACCTGCAATGCCGGAGACACGGGAGACTCAGGTTCGATCCCTAGGTTGGGAAAATTCCCTGGAGGAGGGCATGGCCACCCACTCCAGTATTCTTGCCTGGGAAATCCCATGGACAGAGGAACCTGGTGGGCTACAGTCCATGGGTTCACAGAGTTGGACACAACTGAAATGACTGAACACACACTTACCCACTCTTGGCCTGGGGCTTGGGTTTTTTGTTTTCTCTTGCATCCATCATTTTAATACATTTTTTAAAAACTGTATACATTTACAGTAATGCTTACAATGTACAGTACATAACATTCAAAACAAGCATACAAAATCTACACAAAAACTGAAAAATGTAGAATGGCAAGGTAAAAATTAGCATTGTCTCCTCACCCTGGTGCATCTCACTTTGGGGTCCCCACTCCTAGACAGGAGGCTTGCCCAGCTTCACTTGCCTCTGGGTCCCCAGTACCTACTGCGTGCCTGCACACAGTAGGCACTTGGGGAACCTATGCTAAATGAATGGATGAGCGACTGGATGAACGTAGCCCAGCCCACCTGTGGGACCTCAGCAGAAGCCCTCTCTGTGCCATGGGTCAGCTGTGCCTTGGACTGAGCTCCACTTGTGCCCTGTGCTTCTGTCTACAGTCTGTAGACTCCAGCAAGCGGCCCTCCACCTTGGCTGGCCAGTTCAAGCAGTCTCTGGACCAGCTGATGAAAATCCTGACCAATTGCCAGCCCTACTTTGTCCGTTGCATCAAACCTAATGACTACAAGAAGCCACTGGTAATGAGGGCAGTCTGGGGACCTGCACAGGACGAGGGGAGGTATCTAAGGGAATGAATCTGATGGCATCTGGAGTCATGTCACTCCCTTCACCAGTGCCTGGGCAGCTTTAAAGCTCTCTGCCCCCATTTTACAGCTGGGGACACTGAGGCAAGGTGGCCAGTCTAGACCATTTGAAGGTCGGTGACCTTCAAGGCTTTGGATCTCCCAGACCTCAACTGTCTTCACGCTGCCATTCACTTGCGATTGGCCAAGTGTGCTGCTTCTCTGAGCCTCAGTTTTCTCTTCCATAAATTCTGGATCTGCCAGCCTGCGGGGAGCAGCAAGGGTTGCACATGACTTTGTGTGTGTGTGTGTGTGCGCCATATCTGCATAAGTAAACCACACTCCATAAGGACAGCAGTACTGTGATTTTAGAGGCTGACACCAACTACTGGTCACTGAGACCTGAGGCCATTAAACCCTTGGAAAGTGGCTTTGTCTACTTATGTGCTGGGTGGGAGCCTGCTGCCTACACAGTCCCTGGAATTCCAGCTAGGGAATCCCACCCAGAAACTGCAAATTTAAAGGCTTCCAGACATGAGAAGATGCCATCTGAAAGGAGATAAAATGATTCCGAAAAAAAGTCTTATGAGAGAAAAAAAAAATTAACTAATAAATTCCTTTTTTGAAAGTATAAAATTATATGAAATTCAGGCTGGCCCAGGAAATCCAGAATGCATCTTCCTTAAAGGCACAGTGCACAGATGTTAGATAGTAACTGTGCTCCCAAAGGCCCTCTGCCACAGGTGAGGGCCTGAGGGTCATGCTCAGGTCTTGTGGGTGCCCCTGGCTGAAACACCTCTGGGAGATGGCAGCTCCTGTGCAGGTATAGGGGAACCCAGGCTGAGGGGCCAGGTGGGCTCAAGGTTGGAACTCTGGCTCTGCCACTTAAGAGTACGTCTCTGAGGCTCAGGCACCTCATCCTTAAATTGGAGTTAAGTACCCCCTCCAAGTAGAGCTATTGTAAAGATTAAGGGATAAACAGCAGGTCCACAAGAAATACTGGACAAATGGAAGCTAACTAGCTGCCCAAAACTGCTGGGTGGTCCTTGACCCCAATAGCAGTTGCCTCGGTGGCCCTCCATGTTTCCAAGTGGATGACTGCCTGCTGGTAGGCTTGCCAGATTGGAAGGCATGCCCCTAGTCCCCAGACACTCCTGGTTCCAGATGGAGGGGGGCCCTCTAGGGTGCCAGCCATGGCTGAGCCCCCATATGGTTGTGCAAAGCATTGTGACCAAACTCCTCTACAAGTAACTATCTCTGGAGGATGCAGAGACTAAATTGATTACAATATTTTCTGAGTCTAAGTAGGAAATGTACTTCTTCCTTCCACTAGAGTGGGAGGCATAATGGTGCCCCTGACGGAAGGATCTCAGGGGCAGAGGTCACCCCAACATTGGCAAGGTCAGGAGGAAACTGTGTTCTTTGGGATCACTGTTTGGGGGCATTTAACAATATTTTAAATGTGGCATATGCAAAAAATTTTTCTATTCCTCATACTCTGCATATCCTTAAAATGAGGGAAATATTTGCTCTTCTTGTGGATGTCCTAGTTTGATGTGATGGACTTTTATCTCCTTGGAAACACTTCCAGGACTTTTCAGCGACTTCAACCAAATAGCTCTTCAGAATAGAATTTTCATGAAACCAAGTGTTTGCTTCGTTCCCTGCCTTGGGGGACAGCGGCAGAGGTGGTGGCAGGTGATTGGGAAGGGGTCGGCCCATGCTATCAGCCTCTCTCCTCTGCAACCGCAGCTCTTCGACCGTGAGCTGTGCATCCAGCAGCTGCGCTACTCGGGGATGATGGAGACCGTGCACATCCGCAAGACCGGCTTCCCCATCCGCTACTCATTCGAGGAGTTCTCCCAGAGGTTCCGGGTCCTGCTGCCTAGTGCCGTGCACACGGAGGTGTGTGTCCCCGCAGCCTGGCCGGCAGGCCCCAAAACACAGCGTGCACACCCTGGAAACCCGGGCGCCTCAGGGCGCCCCCAACCTCCCAGTTTCAAGAGGGCTCAGGGCCCCTTCTTGATGCCCAGGGGCCGAAGCTTTGAATTGACCCGTCTCTGCTTCCCGTCTCTGGAGGTTCGCGGCTGAATATTTTGCTTCTAGGAGCAACCAAAGTTTAAAGCAAATACTCCCGTTTAGGGCAGAATGTCACAGGGTGTGGCCAGGGAGCAGGAAGCCCGTCCTATCCTTCCCCCAAACACTCAGCCACCCTAAAGTTTGGACTGCCCGTGTCCGGGGGCCACACTGAGACCCCACGGCCTTGGCAGCATTGTGGTCTCGTAATCCTCTGGACCCCATCCTTGGTCCAGGGTGCCGGGTGCTTGTGCCCTGGCCCAGCAGCCCCTGACGGTGACTCCTGTGGGAGCAGAGAGACCGCGAGCCCTCAGAAGCCCCGGAGGAGGGACCTCCGCCGCCCGCGTGACCCCACCGAGCCACTGCTCTTTCTTCCTGGCAGCTCCGGAACAAGTTTCGTCAAATGACCCTGCGCATCGCCGAAAGGTGGCTGGGGACAGATGAAGAATGGAAAATGGGAAAGACCAAGATCTTCCTGAAGGTGAGGGCCTGAAGCCTGTGTGGCTGGTCTGCAGCACGTGGGCGCCTGCACCATGCCTAGCCCCAGCCCTCAAGGAACCCCGGTGTAGAGAACCGTGCTAGGGGAAAGGGAGGCGAGGAGCCACCGAAAGAGGCCAGCCCAGCCTGTGAAAGCCTGGGCTGGTCGTAGAGAACCGTGCTAGGGGAAAGGGAGGCGAGGAGCCACCGAAAGAGCCCAGCCCAGCCTGTGAAAGCCCGGGCTGGTCGTAGAGAACCGTGCTAGGGGAAAGGGAGGCGAGGAGTCACCGAAAGAGCCCAGCCCAGCCTGTGAAAGCCCAGGCGGCTTCTTAGGAGAGGACGTTTAGGACAAGACCTAAGGAGACAGACGGGCTGCCTCCAAGCTACTGAGCAAGAGCAGAAAGGACCTGAGGGAGGTCTTCCACTGTCCCCCGGAGCAGTCTTTGCTGCCGGGAAGTCTGCAGTCAGTCCTGGGGAAGCCCCACCTCTGCCTCCCTGGGGAGGCGGAGCTTCAGGGAAGGCGTCAGTGTGGACCCTGCCCTCTGATAGCTCATCCTTGGCCTGGTGGGGCAAGCAGCACCACTTCCCACCTCCCACCTCCCTCTTCCCTCTCCATCACCTTACAGGGAGGCCCAAGGTCACAACTGAGGAAACCTCCAATTCCTGAGGCTGGCTTTCGGGCCCTCCAGGATTTTGAGTTGGGTCTAAGGGCGAGAGTGTCAGTGTTTCCTAGCCCCTAGTGTAAGTGTTGGAGAAAGCAATGGCACCCCACTCCAGTACTCTTGCCTGGAAAATCCCATGGACGGAGGAGCCTGGTGGGCTACAGTCCATGGGGTCGCTACAAGTCGGACATGGCTGAGCAACTTCACTTTCACTTTTCACTTTCATGCATTGGAGAAGGAAATGGCAACCCACTCCAGTATTCTTGCCTGGAGGACCCCAGGGAAGGGGGAGCCTGGTGGGCTGCCATTCTATGGGGTCGCACAGAGTCGGACACGACTGAAGTGACTTAGCAGCAGCAGTAGCAGTGTAAGTGTTTCAGCTGACCTTTGGGTAGGTCAGCAGGGTGAGGTGGAGGAACAAGAGAAGATCAGGGCCAGAATCAGGGCTCTGCCAGCCCACCTGGCACCACACCCCATCCCCACTGCCCCTTCCTGAGGCTTCCACTGTCCTCTTACCCCCATGGAGCCTGCCCACCAATCCTTGTCTGTCCTCCCAGCCCCAGCTCTCCAGTGGGCCTATTGTCGATCCATCATTAGTTAGACTAGAGCTGAGACTGTGGGGCTTAAAAAGGAAAGAAGAAGAGGGGCTTCAGACTCTACTGAGACAGGTGACTCCACAGAGGGAAGATGTCTGGGGAATCCCAGGGTGCTACCCAGTAGGGTGTGGTTTAAAACAGGGGTCCCCAACCTCTGGAATCTAATGCTTGATGATCTGAGGTGGAGCTGATGTAATAATAATAATAGAGGTAAAGTGCACAATAAATATAATGCACTTGAATCATCCCAAAACCATCCCCCACCCCTCAGTCCATGAAAAACCCAGTCCATGAAAAAATTGTCTATTCCATGAAACCAGTCCCTGGTGCCAAAAAGGTTGGGAACTGCTGGTTTGGAGAGTGGGGTCAGTGTGGGCTCATGGCCTAGAAGGTGAAGAGACTGCCGGCCCCTCCATTCCTCCTTCTCCCGGGCTGCTGCATGAGGCCACAGACAGGAATCTAGTCCATCTCTACGTCCCCAGTACCAACCCACACATATACAAAGCGTCCCAGTACTTACTTGCTGTGAGATTGATGAAGGCAGGCGGTGCCACCAAGCCCGTGGCTTCTGCTCGTCACTTGCCAAAGGCCCATGATGCTCTTTGCTATGCAAAGACAGTCCCTTCCTTCTGGACCTGGGATCCAGGGGGAGCATCAAGGTGGGCCTGGGAATGTCACCACTCAGGGATGAATATGGTCCGTCACCTCACACTGAATTCTCTGCAAAGTCTGGGGAAACATGTTAGTATTGAAAGAAGCATGCATGTGTATTACAGCTGAATGCATGTTTCACATGATTTTTAGGAAATAAAATACAGCTTCGGGGACAATTTTTGCCCACCTCTTGGGTTCTCCAGAGCAGAAGTGAAATTTTCCAGATTGAATTAACAAGAAGAAAGAGCTAAAATGGGAAGTTCTTGGACTGAGGGGCTGGGCTGTGGCTCTGGGCTCAGAGCCACATCAGTGGCAACTTGAGAGCAGGTCTTTCAACCTCATGTCTTTCAACCCCTGCCCTCTCTCCTGGGAAGAGTCTGAGAGATCCTGACTTCTGGAGACAGAGCCCTGGCTGCAGGTAGGGCCTTGGGGGTGAGGCAGGGCAGTTATGTGATGAGAACTCTTCTGTTCCAGGAAAACCAGGATACCCTGCTGGAGGTACAGAGGAGTCGGGCCCTGGACGAGGCTGCCATCAGAATCCAGAGAGTCCTGCGGGGCTACAAATACAGGTGCAGGCCCTTCCCCAAGCCCCTCCCCACCCACACATCCACACACTCCGTCCCCTGGGCAGGCCTGTACCCCTTAAACCAGGGTCACATGTTCCCTCTCATCTATCTCTGGGCGTAACTGAGGCAGAAGAGCTTTTGCAACCTCCTGACCAGGGACACTGCCGTCTGTGTTGGCAGAGAATTTCTAATACATGATTTGAATGTTTAGGGGTGAAGGGCAGAATCTACCAGTGTGGTCTCGACCGTATTTTGATTCTCCTTCAATTATCTTAGAAAACATATGGATTTGGGTTTATGAGGTGGTTGGTTTTGGAGGGAAGAAAAGAACCATCTTTGACTCAATTCCCTGGTCAGTAAATAGGTAATGCTTGAATTTCAGCCCAGGTTCAGCAAATCAGACATATTACTGCCTCCCTTACCCTCACCATGTCCAGTGAAAGTGAAAGTTGCTCAGTCGTGTCCCACTTTTTGTGAACCATGGACTATACAGTCCATGCAATTCTCCAGGCCAGAATACTGGAGTGGGTAGCTGTTTCATTCTCCAGGGGACCTTCCCAACCCAAGGATCAAACCCAGGTCTCCCGCATTGCAGGCAGATTCTTTAACAGCTGAGCTATCAGGGAAGCCCAAGGATACTGGAGTGGGCACCCTATCCCTTCTCCAGGGGACCCTCACCATGTTCAGAGGACTCTACAGATACCACGATGCTGTTCCCTGCTGTCCCACCAGCCTGTTACCAACCACAGGAAGGCGTGGAAACCCAGATAGGACAAAATAGGAGAAAGTGGCTGAGTCACAGGAATAGAGGCTGTGGGCACCTGTGAGAAGGGTCATGAGGCAGGGCAGTGTGGCTTGGAAGGCCATACAGGTGCAAGAGTCCCCAGTGGTCTCCAGTGACATTGTGGGGGATGGACTGCCCATCAAGGATGACTTCCTGCTCAGCCTTTTCTGACACAATTCAGATGAGGGTGGGAATCTAGACTTTCCACTGGGCATTTTCTGGTGTAACTGGAGATGAGAACCACAGTTGTTTAAATAGTGTTTCCCTGAAATAGACTGGCTATCATCTAAAAGTTTTGTGTCTTGCTAAACTGTCCCTTTTCTGGTCTTTTTACTAGAGAGAGAAGGCTTTTCTTGGGGTTTTTTGGTCTGTTCCCATTGTCATTTCTGGATTTTCTACTTCTTTAGCTCCTAGTCTGGGGTTCATGAGACAAAAAGAAGCTCAGAGAAGTTACCACTGTCTGAGATCATTAGCTTGTCTTCCTTCTCATCCTCCATCTTTCAGGGTCTTCTTCATATTTGGCCTTCTATTAGAATCATCATGTAAGTGTGTGTGCACATGCATTAAAAATATTCTATGTGCAGACATATATTATTTGCCCATCAACAAAGATTCTGACTTAATTGGACTGGGCGGCACCCAGACATCAATAAATATTGAAGTTCTTCAGGAGATTTTTTTCTTATTTCTGTCTCCCAGCTTTATTAAGGTGTAATTGACATACAATACCATATAAGTTTAAGGTGTACCACATAATACGGAGGCCTGGCGTGCTGCAGTCCATGGGATCCCAAAGAGTCAGACATGACTGAGCAACTGAACAACAACAACATAATGATTTTACTTATATCATGAAACAATTACCACAGTAAGATTGTTGCTGTTGTTTAGTCACTAAGTCACCTCCAACTCTTTTACAACCCCATGGATTGCAGCCTGCCAGGTTCCTCTGTCTATGGGATCTCCCAGGCAAGAATCCTGGAGTGGGTTGCCATTTTCTTCTCCAGGGGATCTTTCCAACCCAGAGACTGAACCCGCATCTCCTGCATTGGCAGGCAGATTCTTTACCACTGGGTCACCAGAGTTATTATTGTATCCATCTTCTCATATAGATAGAAAAACAAAAGAAATCTTTTTTTCCTTTTGATGAAAATCCTTCTTAGGGTTTGCTCTAACAACTCTCATATGTACCATAGAGCAGTGTTCACTCTAGTCACCATGTGAATTTCATCCCTAGCACTTAGTTATAACTGGAAGTTTGCACATTTTGATCACCTTCATCTAAACCCCTCTGCCCCTACTTCCCGAGAGTGATTTTTAATATGATCAAGATCTACTGTTCTAAACCTAAGAAAATATGCTGAAAAATTATTAGAAGTGATAAGAAAACTCAGCTAAGTGTGGGAAGAAAGATACAACCATATGTACCTCTGACTCTCCAGAGGCCAGGTTTCAGATCACCCCTCCGTTTTCAGCTCACTTCCCTTTCTGTTGGCGGAGGGCATGGCAACCCATTCCAGTATTCTTGCCTGGAGAAAACCACTGACAGACGAGCCTGGCAGGCTCCAGTCCACGGGGTGGCACAGAGTCGGACACGACTAACGTGACTTAGCACTAGCACTTCCTCCCTGTGGAGGGAGCAGTCAGATGGCACTTGCCAGGCTGCCAGCGCCCAGGTGCTGCCCTCTGGTTTGACCTGTCCCCAGAGAGGCGCTCTGGTACTAAGATTTCTGACCTGATTTCGGTAGACTCCTGGGCTAGTGGCCAGAGGAGGGGGCAAGGAATAAAAAGTTGGAAACCGGTTTTAAACCTTCATAGAGCTTTGGGGGTAATGAGGAAATTATTCCTCCTCATTCTAAAAACTGGACTGTCCTCGGAATTCCCTGGCAGTCCATGGGTTAGAGCTGCACACGGCCACTGCAGGGGGCACAGGTTTGATCCCTGGTCAGGGAACTAAGATCCCACATGCTGCATAGCATGGCAAAAATAAATAAATAAATAAAAGATAGAAGATAAACTTCATAAATAAATAACAGAAACTAGACTGTCCTCATTCACAAATTTATTTGTTGGCAGTAGATTTTTTTGTTCCTAACCTACCTTTCAGCCTATGATGTCTTCTGAAAAAGAAATATCACTTGTATTCATTTTTACCCGAATTTTGTTTTCTCTCTTCCTTTCAAAATCAGTTTCCCCCCACCCCTACCACTGATTTGCATTTCCCCTTCTAGGGAGGAGTTCCTGAGGCAGAGGCAGGCAGCTGTGACCCTCCAGGCCTGGTGGAGAGGCCACCACAGCCAGAGGAACTTCAGGCTGGTAAAAGAGCTCATGTGGGAGGCGGAGCCTGCAGGAGCAGGTGACACCTGTCCAGTTAGAACAAACATGGACACTTGTTTATGAGTGTGAGACATTTATTTATGAATGTGAGCGGTGGGGCAAGGAGCACCACCGGTCACAAACCTCAGCACCCCACACTCTTCTTAGCAGTGTCAGGTCGCATGTTTGCGGGTTTCAAGTGTTCTCCTGCAAGGTTTGAGGCATCTCCAGAGCTAGAATGAGATGTCCTGCTCTGAAATGAGATGGTGGCTATTTTTTCCCCCCCAGTTTGCAGGCAGCAAAAGAAGTTAACAGATTGATTATTCTCTTGTTTCAAGCACTTCTTCCAAATTTTTTCCTTGACCACAGGTACTGCTAATGAGTGTCTGCTAAGCAAACAAACAGAGGCACCTTTAGCATGCCCTGCTGGGCCCTCCTTGACTGCTTGCCTTGGTCACGGCCGTGACTGTGGCTGAAACACGCAGATGGAAAGGCTACATGGGGCCTGTTGCTCTATGTGCATCATTTTATTTATTATTAAACCGACACTATATGTCACGGATCTGAGACAGAAAGGAATTAAGTCATTTTCCCAAGAGCATGCAGTCAGTGAGCAGCAGAGCTGGAGCTGAGATGCAGGTCTGTGTGACTTGACGGTTGTAAAATGAAGCACGACCCCACACAGACAGCACGCACCAGGGTTGGTCTTTGAAAAGCCAACAGAAGTCGGCCCAGAGGCTCAGAGACCTCTGTGGCCCAGAGTGTGTTGGCAGCATAGAAGTGGGTACTCATAGTTTATTTTTTCCTCTTTATTTTCAAGCTCCCTGTGAGGGGTTTGCTTGATGGAGCAAGCCAAAGGCCTCCACCTAGGTTCACAGCCCCACAAGAACTGACTGTACTTGGCTGCAGGTGTGAAAAGCAGGACCTCTGCAATCCTGCCCACCGTGTGACTTCCAGCCCCATTCTCTGTCACTAGCCATCAGGAGACCATTCTACCATTTATGCCATTTTAAAGTACTTCTTTAGCACCAATTTCATGCCAGCCTCTGTTCTAACTGCTTTACAAGCATAACTCATTTAATCTGCTTGTGCTCATAAGTGTGCAAAGTTTTAGCACAAGCACTTTGCCAAAAAGCATGTAACTGTAAAGCTAATTTGCGAGAACACCTTGCCTCTCACGCTCTGTCCCCTCGGGAAGCCTTTCTTTCCTCTGTACCCTGCCAGTCCCAGGCCCTTCTGAGGGTGTACACCCTTCTTGCCTCCACAGATCCTCCTGGGTTTTGAGCGCCTGCAGGCCATTGCCCGGAGCCATCTGCTGGCAAAGCAGTACCAGGCCCTGCGGCTGAGGATGGTCAAGCTGCAGGCCCTCTGCAGGGGCTACCTGGTGCGCCAGCAAGTCCAGGCCAAGAGGAGGGCTGTGGTGGTCATCCAGGCGCATGCCAGGGGCATGGCTGCTCGACGGAACTTCAAGCAGCAGAAAGTCAATGTAGGTGGTCACCGCCCTCTCGGGCAAGTGGGAGATGGCTGGGCCTGGATGAGGGAGGGCAGTCAGGAGTGGGCAGCAACATAAGACCATCATCAGACACTCCTGATCCCTCTGGATCCAAAGTTACTACGGTAGTGGGCCCCCACCATCAGGCACACCCAGCTCATACCCTGGGTGCTGAGGATGCAGCCTGGGAGATGGATTATCTCAGTCTTATACCTGGAATCTGGAACTCGAGCTCTTTGGTCCCTTCCTTTAGCTTTGGGATGATTTCTCAGCAGCACTGATCAGCCCCCAGGAAGGCTCAGGAAACCAGGGTCAGCTGAGCTGTGGGAGGCCACAGTTCTACAGAGGCGGGTGGAGGTGCCTGATTCTTGGGCGGGCCTGATTGCTTAGCACAGAGAAATACCAAGAGGCAGGAGAGATGGGAGGGCAGGGGGCAAACAAATGGCACTGAGATGTGTACCACTGCACTGTGACATTTCACCCGTGGGTGGTCCCATTCCCTCCATCCAGAGAGTAACCAAGACTCAACCTCACTCCTCAGAACTCACTCATTGGTAATGGTGATAAAGAGGGGCTAGGATGAAATTCTCTCCTGCTCCATAGATAATACAGGTCCTCTGAGCACAGTACTGGTACAGTGGCCGGAGCAAGAAAGAGTGTAGAGCCTCAGACACATCAGCAGATGCTCCTATACCTACATGGCCCCAGACGATCAACAGACCGGGCAGGCCAGGGCCCTCTCCCAGGGGAGCGTCCTTGCTTTTAGTGAAGGGACCATGTCGGCCTGAGTGGGTTTTGCAGCTAGGTTCTGGGAATTTTGTGGGGTTTGGTGTGTTCCCATGTGGGGACAAGCAAGCATCTCCCTTCTTTACATCTTCTCTGAAACAAGAAGCCCAGGCTGGTTGATCTCCAGTCTCTCTAGCTATTGAAACCTCGGATTTTAAAGGGAAATGTATTGCTTTGGACAAATACAGCAGCAGGTTTATTCAGCTTCGTAAGGGGCTTGCCCCAGCTGGGCTGGTGGTAACTGTGGCCCCACGGGGTGTCTGTGCAGGTGCCTCTGGTCCTCCCAGCTGAAGAGCAGAAGAGCCCAAGCACTGTGCCCAAAAGGAAGCGTAAGTCCATCTACGACACCATCACTGACACAGAGATGGTGGAGCAGGTGTTTGGCTTCCTGCCTTCCCTGACTGGTGGGCAGGATGGCCAGGCTACACCGCACATTGAGGTAAGATGGGCCCTGGCAGCCCAGCGTGGGATCTTGTGGGGTGCCTGCCCAGTCCCAGCCCTCAGCCAACCTCTAGGCTTTACTGAAAAGCCACCACTTGGCTCAGGGAGTGAGTTCTGTGGTCGTGGGCGAAAATGCAGAGAAAAGAGGAGGGAGGGTCTCTGTGGTCAGACCCTTTCAAGTTAAGGAGCTGTCTTACCTGCGAGGCTTCCTAGAGCCTTTACTGTGCAAATGTTCTTGGGCTTTCAACTGGGCAGCGTTTCCCACCTGTATTTGGCCGCCATCACAGAGCATCTCATTGGCTGCTGCTCTGCAGAATGGTACCTGCGGGATTGAGGGTGGGGAGCAGAGCAGGAGGATTGGGCAGACAGGCCAGCTCCAGGGCGGTCCTGTTGACTCTCACTGCATCCTTTCAGGTGCTCATGCCTGCTCCCCCAAGCTCCACCCACCCACAAACCATCTGTGTTGTGGGGGCAGCTGGGCACACCTCCCCTGGAGGAGCGCCTAAGGGAGGAGGCAGGAGGCAACAAGGAGTGGGGGTGTCTGGGGAGCCAAGGGCTACAGGAAGAGGGCTCTGAGGGCAAGCTGCCAGGTACATGGGGCTCTCACACCAAGGCCCATCCAGCACTTGGCAGCCCACCAGGGATGCACTGAGGGCGTGGGCAGGAGGAGGTTCCCAACACAAGGGGGAGTGGGTAATTCTGCACCCTGTCACTAACCAAGCAGGCCCTTCTTAGGGCTCTTTGGCCCCCCCAAGATGCACACACTGGCAGATCACATCTGAATGGAGAGTGGACCCTTGTCTCTGTCCCAGGATCTGAAAGAGATGACCGAGAAGCTGCCTGAGGTTGACCTAGACATGGTCCCCATGATGGAGGAGCCTGAGGATGACCTGGCCGAGTACACCTTCCCCAAGTTCGCCGTGACCTACTTCCAGAAGTCAGCCAGCCACACACACATCCGGCGGCCCCTCCGATACCCTCTGCTCTACCACGAGGATGACACTGACTGCTCGGTACCTGGTCCCGTGTTTTCTAGTGGCTCAGGCCTCCTGCTGATTCAGCGGGAGCAAGAAAGGGGCAGGATGCCATGGGCTCTGTGCTGCACGGAGCTGGGTTCCAAGCGGGGGCTCTGTCTCCGTTTTCCCAGGCTGCCCTGGCTGTGTGGAGCATCATCCTACGGTTCATGGGCGACCTTCCGGAACCAGTGCTCTTCACCAGGAACACCCCGCATGGCGGCTCAGTGATGCAGCAGATCCACAATGCCCTGGGCAAGGACAGCAGCACCCAGCCTCCCCAGCACAGCAGACCAGCACAGGTGCACCATGAGGGCGGTGCCAAGGGGAGACACCCTCCCAGTGTCCCCAGGCCCAGGGCCTGGAGAAGCTGGGCCAGAATGGGGAGGCACAATGTGCAGTGAGGATCACCCCCTGGACCTAGGGTCCCCTAGGGACCTTCAGGGTTTTCAGTCTTGAATTGCACTTGGGAACTCATGAGTCAGGCATTATACCCAGGGCTTTGTGAATTATACAGTCATTATTGGAGAAGGTCCCCCAGGCGCTGAACACTGGGTCTGATTTAGTCAAACTTCGTACTTAGTCACTCAGCTGTGTCTGACCCTTTGAGACACCATGGACTGTAGCCTGTCAGGTTCCTCTGTCCATGGGATTCTCTGGGTAAGAATACTGGAGTGGATAATCACTCCCTTCCCCAGGGGATCTTCCCAACTCAGGGATGGAACCCAGGTCTCCTGCACTGCAGGCAGATTCTTTACTCTCTGAGCCACCAGGGAAACCAGTCAGGATTCAAATGCGTAGACCAGTAATAATAACAACAAATGTTACCGACTGTCAACATGCTGTGTGCCGGTCGCTTTTCTTCAGTTAGTTTCCAAATGAGCCATCCCTACAAAGTAGGATTATTAAATTTATTGTAGCGAAAGAAACTGAGAAGTTAAGTGACTTGCCCCCAAATCACAGTGAATACGTGTTACACAGCTGGGCTTTGAATCCACTCCACTGAATTCAAAGACCCAGCTGTTTACCCGTATTCTACCCTGCCCTCTGATGAAAGGCTGTTACATCCATTTTTGGTCAGAAGTCCTTCCTAAGGCCTCAGTTTTATGATGTCATCTTAGTGGAATTAACCAAGAATAGTTCAAAGGAATGACAGAGCAGTGACAGCACTTGGGCCCACCAGCGACAGGAGCCCCACAGCAGCCTGTAATTCTGACACCAGTTCCAATGTATATGGGTTTTTGCACTGAAAATTCTCAGCACCAGTTGGGTGTCCTAAAATTCAGCTCAGGTTGGATACTATCTGCCTGGAGATAGTGTCCAATTCCACAGATGAAGGGCCCAGTCCTTCTAGATTACCCGCACTTTAATGCAAGTCCAGACTGGTCTTTATTTGCTGACCACCTGGCTTGAATCAAACATTCTCACACCCCCTCCTTGGGTTTGATTAATTTGCAAGAGCAGCTCAGAAAATTCAGAGTAACATTGTACATACTAGCCTACTGGTTTATTATAAAGGATACAAGTCACTATAGCCAGATGAAAGAGACAAGGTATGACATGCACAGGGGCAAGATATGAAAAAGATTAAGAAACTTGCATTCCCTCTCCAGGTCCCACTCTTCCCAAATCTCCATGTGTTCACCAGCCTGGAAACTCTCTGACCCCTGTCCTTTTGGGTCTTTAAAAGGGCCTCACTTCATAGATATGATTGAATAAATCACTGGCCATGGTGCCAGCTAAACTGTTTCATGCCCTTCCCCCTCCCCTTGACCACTAGCCACCAGCCCCCATCCTTCAGTTCAGTTCAGTTCAGTCGCTCAGTCGTGTCTGACTCTTTGCCACCCAGTGGACTGCAGCATGCCAGGCTTCCCTGTCCATCACCAACTCCCGGAGCTTACTCAAACTCATGTCCATTGAGTCGGTGATGCCATCCAGCCATCTCATCCTCTGTCGTCCCCTTCTCCTCCCACCTTCAATCATTCCCAGCATCAGGGTCTTTTCAAATGAGGTAGTTCTTCACCTCAGATGGCCAAAATATTGGAGTTTCAGCTTCAGCATCAGTCCTTCCAATGAATATTCAGGACTGATTTCCTTTAGGACGGACTGGTTGGATCTCCTTGCAGTCCAAGGGATGCTCAAGAGTATTCTCCAACACCACAGTTCAAAAGCATCAATTCCTCAGCACTCAGCTTTCTTTATAGTTCAACTCTCACATCCATACATGACCACTGGAAAAGCTAAAGCTTTGCCCCCATCCTTAGGTGCTTTCTAAAAGTCACCTCATTAACATAAAAAGACATCTTTATCACAGGTGATTCCAAGGGTTTTAGGAGTTCTGTGCCAGCAATGGGGACAAAGACCAAGTATCTATTCCTTATTATAAACTGAAATATCACAGGCCCCCAAACATCAGGTGCTCAGATAGCAGAGCAACTGTACAAACATCAAGTGGGTCTGCAGCCTGGGGTCACAAGGTCAAATCTGGTCCAGAGGTTACATGGAAGTTACCCAAGCTCAAGCCCTGACTCCCTGACCTCTAGAGATGTGAACTCTGCCTAGTGTAATGGTCATCCATTGCTGTGCAACAGATGAACCCCTAAATGTGATGGCATGAGAGAGCCCACATTCATTACCTCAGACACTTTTTGAGGATCAGGAGTGGCTTAGTTTGTTAGTTCGGGCTCCAGGTCTCTAATGAAGTTGCAGCCAAACTGTCACTTAAAGCTTGACTGGGTCCACAAGATCTGCCTCCAAACGGCTCCCTCACATAGCTGCTGGTGGGAGACCTCAGCTCTGGCACCCGGGCCTCTCCACCGGGCTGCCTGAGTGTTCTCACCATTTGCTTCCTCCATGACGAGTGACTTAAGAGAGAAAGCAGGAAGGAAGCTTCATTGCCTGAGTGCCATAGTGGGTGAGAATGTCAGGAAGCAAGGGTCACTGGGGGTCACCTTGGAGCCTGGCCACCACTCAGGGAGGGGACGTCGAGAGGTGGCCAAGCCACCGGCACCTCTGGAAGGTGGCCACAGTGAGCACTGGCTTCCCAGAGTCAGATCTCAAGTGTTCCTTCTTGCACATTTATTAAGTGTGTGTGCCCCCAAGGAGGAGCAGTGGGCTTCATGAGCCCTGCCCACCCTCGCTCACCAGCTAATGTATTTTACACTTGGTCCCTGTGTGGCAAACCAGTTTTAGCCCAGCCAGAAGCCAGTGCCCACTTCCCAGGTGGCACTAGTGGCAAAGAATCTGCCTGCCAGTGCAGGAGATGTAAGAGGCACAGGTTCGACCCCTGGGTCGAGAAGATCCCCTGGAGGAGGAAATGACACCGCCTACAGTATTCTTGCCTGGAAAATTCCATGAACAGACAAGCCTGGCAGGCTATACAGTCCATGGGGTGGCAAAGAGTTGGACACAGCTGAGCAACTGAGCACACAGCATGCACACACGGAAGCCCGTGCCCAGCCCCAGACCTGGGGTCATTGCAGCCCAAGCCCAGTCCCACACTGAGCTCTGATTTTGGCAGCAACTTCTCATGACACCATCAGGACAGGCTGTGATCCCTGCCTATGGATACCATCAGATCCTGATGTCTGGGAGTGGGCCTGGGCCGCAAAGTCTAGGCTTCTGATTCTCTAGCAAAACTCTGACCTTGCAGTGGGCAGAGTGTATTCCAGTTCATCCACCACGTTGTCACAGAGAATGACTGTAGCCTGCGGCTGTCCTGGGCACCTGCATTCAGACCCAGCCCACTTGGCTGGTGAGAGGTCCAGACTTTGGAAGCAGAGCAGTCCTGAGCCCTCCCAGAGGACCAGGGTCTGGCCGAGCGGCTCCTGTCCGGGTTCTCACGCCCTCTCGCCTGTTTCCCTGCCCAGCAGTGAGGATGGTGGTGCACACCCATCAGTGATGCAGGCTTGGTGGACATGAGAGAATGCACGGTGCTTTACAAGTCAGGTTGGGAAAAGGCTCGGGAGATAGAGATGAGCTCCACCCCAGGCAGATCTTGGGTTAGATTTGGAGGTGCTGCCCAGGCTTCACCTTCCCTCAGGGGCTCTCTCCCTCCACAGAGGCCAAGCCGCAGGGACAGAGGGACCAAGGACATCTCCTCCATGAAGCTGAAGCGATCCTCCTGGGTTACGGGCCAGGTAAGCCCAGGGCCAGGGGACCCAGGCTTGCTCCCAGCTCTGCCGCCCACTGGCCATCCTGCTTCAGTGTTCCAGGCTTTCACCCAGTTTCCTTCTTTGCAAATGGAAGCAATCTTAGTTGTCCTGACTGCCACCTCTGGGTTTCAAGGTGGCCAGCCAGCTGAATATTGGAGAAGAGGCATTTGAAGAGGACGGCCCCATCTCAGACGGACCCATGTCCAACCTGGAGAAGGTGCAGTTCATTGTGGGCTATGCCATCTTGCGTCCCGGCCTCAGGTCAGTCCCCACCCCCATCGCACCCCCTGAGAACACAGCCGGTCACTAGCTCTCAGCCCAGGGCCCCATCCCTAACCTGCTCCCTACCCTGGAGCCTGCAGGCTGGCTCTCAGGACAGCAGATGTTACAACCAACGGGGTTCTCTAATGCTCTGCACTAAAACCCCTGGGTAAAACACAGTTTTAGGAAGACAAACTCATCATGGGTTGTTGATTCATCTTATAACCAGCTTTACTTCAAGACCCTGTAAATGGGCAAGTTCCTCATTTATTCTATACATGTTTTGCTTTATATACAATTTGCTTTACAGAAATTGTGTTTTTTTACAAGTTTTAAGAACTATGTATATTGCTTACAAAGACAGACTACTGTATTTCAGGGGTTCACATATTTTAAGTTATTACTAATATTTTTAACCAAATTCAAGGAATTTGAGTCATTGTTTTTTTTCAAATGTTTTTTTCTACTTCACTCTCTCTCTTTTCCTTTGAACTCTAATTAAATCTATAGAAGACTTTTATATTGTCTGTCACATCCCTAAGGGTCTGTTCATCGTGCTTTCTTTTTTCCCCTTCTGTTCTTTAGGTTAGATATTTTCTATTAATCTGTCTTCATATTCACTGATTTTTCTTTTGTCTTCCCCAGTCTGCTGTTATACCCATCCAATATTTTTTAAAATTTCAAATATTATATTTTTCAATTCTAGAGTTTGCACTTGACTCTTTTTTTAAAAAAAAAAAAATGGTTTCTGTTTCCTTGCCAAGATTTCCTGTTTGTTCATTCACTATGAACATAATGTCCTTTATATCTTTGATCATAGTTATGGAAATTTTAAACCCTTTCCTGATAAATCAATATTTGGTTCATCTTGGGGTCAGTTTCCATTGACTGCCTTTTCTCTTGAGAATAGTCATGTTTTCCTGTCTCCTCACATGTCTGATACTTGATTATTATTTTCTCAGTAGCCTAGTACTTTTGGGTTGTTATCTTAGACATTTGGGGATGATATGTTTGAAGTCTCTGGAATCTGTTACATTCCTTCAAAGACTTTTCATTTTGGCAGGCAATTAATTTGGTTGGATTCAAACTCTGTCTCTCTGTGGTAAGCAGCAGCCGGAATCCCCGTGCAGTTATTTTAGCCTTTGCTGTGCTTCCTGGAGTCTGCCTCAGACATGTGTAGATCAGGGGTGAGCCAGAGATTTAGGGAGATTTTATATACAAAATATAGGGCTCCTCCACTCCCCCAGAGCCAGCCGCCAGCCTGGACTCCCAGCACTCTGTGTCTTTCAGGGACGAAATTTACTGCCAGATCTGCAAGCAGCTCTCAGAGAACTACAAAACAAGCAGCCTGGCCCGGGGTTGGATCCTGCTCAGCTTGTGCCTGGGCTGCTTCCCGCCTTCCAAGAGGTTCATGAAGGTGGGGAGGGGCGGGGGCAGGAGCTGCGGGCGGGGGGCAGCATGGGCCGGCCCCGGGCCCTGGAGCAGCTGGAGAAGCCCCAGCCCGTGGCCTGGTTCTCCTGCTCCCGCAGGCCAGGATGGGCAGCGGTGCCTGGCCTTCTTTGGGCCTCAGTTTCACGTCTATGAAAGAGGATGCTCCTCTGGCCCCTGATCAGGATCTGCAAGGCCATCTCACCTGGGCTCCGTCACCAAAAGACAGTGAGGTGGTGGATGAAATGGGCATTGAAAAGACAAAAGTGTTTGAGGAATCGGCACCAACGAGAGGCTGGATGCGGCATCTCCCTCTAGGCCTTATAACGAACAAGAGAGGTGTTTCCAAGTGTTGGAGGCCCCAGGCTTCATGACTCTAATACACCTTTTGGTTCTGAATATAAAAGTAACATGTAGGGGGACTTCCCTGGTGATCCAGTAGTTAGGAGTCTGCTGTTCCACTGCAGGGGGCACAGGTTCAATCTCTGGCTGGGGAACTAAGATCCCACATGCCTTGCAGCCAAGGGTGGGAAGAAAGTAATGTACAGGAAATGTAAAAAGTCTAAATAGAAAACAAAAGTCATCCTCACACCCAGAGGCAACTTGCATTACAGTTTCTGACCTTTTGTGGTGTGAGAGAGTCATACTTGTGATCACACAGAAAACAATCTCACTATCTCTCATGCCTCCAGGGACAGCAGGAAGTCTGATCACCCTGGCCATCTGTCCTGGGCCACCCTTGACACCAGTAAATCATTCCAGGCTGCATCTTCTCAAAGAATCTCTCTGAGAGATGAAAAACTTTTCAACACCTTGTTTCAACATCTCATCAAACATATTTTGAACATCGGCTCTCCTGCAGTTTTCACTTATAAGCGTCTTCTCATGTCATAAACTGGCACCCCCAAATGGCAGCGCTAATGCCATTTGTTAGTGTTCTTAATGCATATTCCACTTGTTGATGGACATTTAGGATCTGTCTTCCAATTGCCCATCACCATAACCACCACTATGATTAAAAACTATATATCTACCTTTACCAAATTATTTTTACCTTTACCAAATTAGGTCAAAGAGTACACACATTTTAAAATTATGTACTATTTAACACATATTGACAATGGCTCCTCAGAAATGTTGTACAACTGATACTCCTCATAGTGTGACAGCCCCATGTTAATGCACCTTTGCCACCACTATTATCATTTTTAGCTTTTTTCCAGTTCTAGTGAGATATTATTAACATATAACATTGTTCAAATGTAGGGTATACAGTGTTGTGATTTTATATACGTGTATATTGTAAAATGATTGCCAAGTAGTAAGTACATCCATCATCCATAATAACAATTAGAATCATATTCTAGAATCTGGACAGTAAGTAGAAAGTGGCCTCCGTTCTAAGTATCTTCATACCATTGCCTTCCTCATCCACCAGTATCTGCTGAACTTCATCAGTCAAGGACCAGTCGGCTATGGGCCCTTCTGCGCTGAGCGCCTGAGACGCACCTGTGCCAATGGGGTGCGCACAGAGCCCCCCTCCTGGCTGGAGCTGCAGGTAAGGGCTGGAGGGGATGGGAGGCGGCCAGTGTGGGGTGGAGGCAGCCCCCATGACCCCTGCAGCACAGCTCATGGGGCTGCCAACAGGAAGTATGTGCTCTGGGCCCCTCCCCGCTCTTCTGGGCCAGTGGTCCCTGGGAGCCCCACCTGGGGTTCAGCCTCCCCAGGCCCTGTATTGCAATCCCTGGGTCGGGAAGATCCCCTGGAGAAGGGAATGGCTACCCACTCCAGTATACTTGCCTGGAGAATTTCATGGACAGAGGAGCTTGGCGGGATACAGTCCCTGGGGTTGCAAAGAGTCAGACAGAACTGAGTAACTAACACTTTCTCTTTCACTTAGGGTCCTTCTAACTGAAGGGGAAAATCAGTCTTAGTTCCTTAGTTGCAGGGTGTGAGTGGCTGCTAACTGCCTAAAGCTTACCCATCCCGAAGACACTTGCATTTTATATGGTCATCCAAGGTTGTCTACCTAGGTGGCATTCTAGTCTGTGTTACCTGTGAGTTCTTGCAGGATCCTCAGGAACGGTACTTCAGACACAGGTAGGGTCTGGCCCCCTTATACCCGTGGCTCCTGGAAGGCACTCACGCTCTATGCCCTGTGGTGCCCTATACCAGGACACAGAAAGCCCCTTCCACCACCCCTGTCCTGTTCTCACTCTGCCACCAACATCCACAGGACTTCCCTCCTCCACCTTATCTTCCTGCTCTGCCCAGAAGCCCTGGAGTTGAAAGTGAACTTACTGCAGCTATGTGGCCTGTGCTCAAGCCCTGCTGTACACAGAGAGTAACAGTGGCTTCCTCTGACCCAGAACGTTCCAGAGTCCAAGACTCAGACACCTCCGAAAGCTTTTTGACTTTCTGTGATCCTGAGTCACCCAATGTCGCCAAAGCTCAGGGAACTCATGTTAAAATGGGGCCTTCCAGTACAGGCTGCCCACCCCACGGGCACTGTGCTTAAACAGCTCTTGCCTTGGAAGGCCCCTCAGTTCAGCAGCGATGTCTGTTGGCCAGGACTTCCTAAACAGCTAGCCGAGCTGGGCGGTGCTTCAGAAGGCCCCGCCTCCCAGAACGCAAGGGCATGCACCAGCAGGGGCTGTGGGTTGGGAAGAGGGGCTGGTGGGCCGGCCTCCCATCACAGAGTTCCAGGAGCTCCAGCGCAGACAGCTGAGCCGAGGGGCCTCCTGGGCAGAGGACCTGAGTCTTCGTCTGTCCCCAGGCTGTCAAGTCCAAGAAGCACATCCCAATCCATATCACCCTGGCGACTGGAGAGAACCTGACGGTCATGGTGGACTCAGCCTCAACGTCTCGGGAAGTCTGCCTGCACATCGCCCGCAAGCAGGGCCTCAGCGACCACCTGGGCTTTTCTCTGCAGGTCGCCGTGTACGACAAGGTACTGGCCAGGGGTCCCATCCACCGCCCGCCTCCTTCACACATGCAGAGCAGCACCGGCCCTTGTATCATGGCAGCCTAGGCACCACTCACCTTCCCAGCTGCCAAACGCAGATGCGAACACAAACTCCCACTCACAGACGTGCCTCCTAACCAGGCAGCCTGCCCCGCTGGCCCAGCACTCACACACTCAGCCTAGTATCTCACACACACACCTGGAAGGTCCCCTGCTGTGCCTACATCCTGCGCCAAGCCCCTCCACCCTGGGGAGCTCAGGATCCCATGCATCCATGTGGGGGTCACACCAGCACTGCCCCACCCTGAACCCCACATCGTCGCCCCACCCAGATGCCCTGATTCCCACACTCAGAACCAGGCATACACATGCCAGTGAATCAAGGCATTCTAACCCAGTCACATGGGCTTGAGCCTCCTGTGAGAGGGCCCGGCAGGGGGAGAGTTCAGGGGTGTTTAGGGGTGAATGACAGCCCATGCCCAATGGGGAGGAGCCTGAAGGGTTCCTGTACTTTTGATGTCCACACCTCCACTTGGGTATGGCAAAGGCAGGTGTCCCCAGGGAGCTGACACGCAGCAGTCACTCACCCCTGCCACCCTGATTCTGGTCTCAGTTCTGGTCCCTGGGCAGCGGGCGTGACCACGTGATGGATGCCTTGGCCCAGTGTGAGCAACTGGCCCGGGAGAGGGGCGAGAGTGAGCGCCAGGCACCATGGCGCGTCTACTTCCGGAAGGAGTTCTTCACCCCCTGGCATGACTCCCAGGAGGACCCGGTCAGCACCCATCTCATTTACCGACAAGTCCTCCATGGAGTCTGGTTTGGCGAGTACCCCTTCGAGAAGGTGAGGGGACCACAGCTCTCAGGGCCCCAAAGACCCACCTCTCAGACAACCTGGGGAAGGGCCCTGTTTCAGGGCAGGGACTTTGGGACAGAGCACGGGCAGCTGGGCTGTGGGCACAAGGCATGTCCCTGGGGAGGCCATGTGGATCATGGAAGGCAGGAGGCTGAGAGAGAGGAGTGGGCCCAGATGCATCTGCGAGTACAGGTCCCTGAGGCCCTCTGGGAGCAGCTCTCCCTGCCCTAGCCTTCATCTCCCCCTCAGAAGTTCACTCAAGCTTCTGGGGTTTGAGGCACCTGCCGCCGGCAGCAAAGCCCACCACACCCCCCTCCATCAGCCCCAGGCCCACCTAGCCTCACCACAGAAGCTGCTCATGGGGCAGCAGGGCCTGGGGGTCAGGAACACGGCCTTGGAACATTAGGTCACCTCTCTGAGCCTCTGGAAGGCGCAGTCACCAGAGCTTTCTGTGTGGTTGTGAGACCTCCTGGGCAATGCTGTGCCTGTTCAGCGGGTGCAGACCTCCCTGGGCCTGAATCCAGAGGATACGCTGGGGACTGGAAACAACTGTGGCAGTCTTGGAGGCCTGCCTGGAGCAGGGCAGTGGGCAGGGAGAGGTGGGGGCAAAGGGGGCGTGGGGTCAGAGGGCAGGCAAATAGATGGCTGGGCAAGGTTTTGTCTCCTGGGAAAGAACAGGGCATCTTGGTCCCTGTGGGGCTCCTGGAGCAGGGAACCTTCTGTGTGCTGGGCATGCCAGTGACTTACACAGCCTCCCGCCCGCATGAATCCCAGCAGAGACTCTGCAGGAATGGTAGGGAGGTCACCTTTGCTCAGTGAAGACTGGGGGAGACAGAGTAAAGGCCTTGTCCACATGTGAAGGACAGGGAAGCCTGGTGTCCTGCAGTCCACGGGGTCACACTCGGACTCGATTCAGTGACTGAACAACAACACTCACCTTACTCAGACAGCAGTGCTGGGGCTCCACCCAGGCCCCAGAGCTCAATCCCACACACTCACTGGCTCACGAGGGCTGAACAAGGAGCATACAATACACCCCCTTGTCCTCCGGCTGGGCTGCTGGGAGACCCCAGCCTGCCAAGAGGAGCGCAGCCCGTGTTGGGCCCAGTCAGGGCACACAGGGGCTTTGCCGTGTTGGGAGAGGGGCAGGTCATGCCTAGCAGAGGTGGCTGCTCACCTCTGCTGTGGGGGCGGGGGTGGGGGGGGGTGAGAGCTCAGCTGGGGCCAGGCTTCCGGGGAGAGAGGGGGCTCGCACATGCACACCCCACCCCGGCTCCCACGTGTGTCCCTGGGCGGTGCAGGAGGAAGAGCTGGTGGAGCTGCTGGCCCAGCACTGCTACGTGCAGCTGGGCGCCGCAGCCGGGAGCCAGGCCATCCAGGAGCTGCTGCCCGGCTGTGTCCCCTCCAAGCTGTACAGGACCAAGACCCCTGAGAAGTGGGCCAGCCTGGTCACCACCGCCTACTCCAAGGTCAGCCTCCCCGAGCCTGTGCACTCCGGCGATGCAGCTCTTTTTGGGAGTGGTGGGCCCCTTGGTACGTAGAGGGACTGGAGATCCCATTATGAGTCCCTACTCACTGAGGGGATGGAGACTAACCTCCCGGTCAGCATAGCCCTATGTCTTCAGGTTTAAACAATCTCGTTCAGGTTCACCCCCCTTCACAAGGTGGCATCTTGGCTGGTCTGGGCGGCTCAGCCCTCCACTGGTCTCTACTGCAGGGTCAATCTGGGCCCTGGCTTTTGGGTGCAAGAAGGCATCCTCAGCTGCTGGCCGTAAGCACACCCTCACCTTGGCCCCAGTTCTGCCCTGGGCCTTCACGTCCCCTTGCCGGGCCCTGAATGCCCGGTGCTGGCCTGGACAGCAGGGAGGGCTGCCCCTCCTCTACCCCTGCTTGGTCAGCCTGCGCCAAGTGAAAGTGGTTCCTGGAGGCTCACAGCCTCTTCCCCGAGAAGACAGCCATCTGACTTAGTCCCCCTGCTTCTTTTCCCCTCCCCACAGGGCTGTCCCAAACCACCCCTCCGTCAGAGCCTCCCTCCTCACAGGGTGCTTTGCTCTGCAATATGTCCTGAGGGTGCAGAGTCATCTCTGAGGGCTGGTGGGCTCCGTGCTGCAGCTGCTGCTGCAGGAGACCTGTGCATGGGCTGAGGGGGGTGGGAGGGGGAGGATAAAACCCTTTGGTGAATGCTTGTGTGTGTGTCAGTCACGCAGTTTTGTCCGACTCTTCAACACCCTATGGACTGTAGCCCACCAGACTCCTCTGTCCGTGGAATTCTCCAGGCAATAATACTGAAGTGGGTAGCCATTTTCTTCTCCAAGGGATCTTCCCGACCCAGGGATCAAAGCCAGGTCTCCTGCTTTGCAGGCAGATTCTGTACCATCTGAGCCACCAGGGAAGCCTTCCCCTGCTTCAATTACCCTGTTGCACTGGGAGCCAAGAAACAGCATGACAGGCAGTGGGCAGTTCAAAGGCAGTGCAGTGCTGGTTTGTCAGGGGTTGACAGCCTAGCTGCAGGAGATGAGGCCTAGGTGCATGGCTCAGATAGCAGGGGTTGCCCATGTTCAGAGCGGGGCAGGGAGGATGACCAATGCAGTCTGCGTTCTGGTCACAGGAAAGGAGGTGCTCAGAGTGTGTCTGCAGTGGGGGAATGCAGCTTGCTTTGTCCTGCTCTTCAGGAATCAGAGTGCACAGCCCTGAGGAAAGGCTCCAAGGAGCCCTGCAAGAGAAAAGCCCAGTTGTTCTACCTAATATTCCTCATACAAGCTTGACCACAGAAGCTTTGTTCCCCAAAGGGGTCAATATCATCCCTTGGGGACAGTCCTTGAACAGGAACTTGGAGAAGCAAACCTTGTGGATTAGTTTTGTTGTTTCCCAGCCCGAGTGGATGTGTTTACAGGGGAGAGGCCATGGACTTTTTAGGGCTAGTACGAGGCAGAGGAGACAAGAGATGCACATGAACCCGAATGAACACGAGAAGAAGTGGCATCATCATTTTGGGAAAGGGGAGATAGGGTGAGAGTAAAGAATTAGGAAATTTACACCACTGTTTTTTCCAAAGGGAGCATAAGTTTCACTGATTTTTTTTTTCAGTAAAAACTAAAATGTGGACATTACCAAATAAACCGGAAAACAAGACAAACAAAGAAAAAAGGGAAATCACCAATAGTATCACATCAAAGAGTTCATCCCTCTTAATGCTGTGTACATATCCTTCTAGACTGCTTTGTTCACAGGTATACAGTTGACATGTGCATATGATTGGAAGGCAAGAAACATGCTTTTTTCAAAAAAAAAATTTTTATTTTAATTGGAGGCTAATTACTTTACAATATTGTGGTGGTTTTTGCCATACACTGACATGAATCAGCCATGGGTGTACATGTGTCCCCCGTCCTGAACCCCCCTCCCACCTCCCTCCCCATCCCACAGGGTCATCCCAATGACCCTGGCTTTGAGTGCCCTGTTTCATGCACTGAACTTGGGCTGGTCATCCATTTCACATATGATAATATACATGTTTCAATGCCATTCTCTCAAATCATTCCACCCTCGGCTTCTCCCAGAGTCCAAAAGTCTGTTCTTTATGTCTGTGTTTTGCTGTCTCACATATAGGGTCATCGTTACCACCTTTCTAAATTCCATATATATGCATTAAAATACTGTATTGGTGTTTTTCTTTCTGACTTACTTCACTCTGTATAATAGGCTCCAGTTTCATTCAGTTCATTAGAACTGATTCAAGTGCGTTCTTTTTAATAGCTGAGTAATATTCCATTGTGTATATGTACCACTGCTTTCTTATACATTCATATGCCGATGGACATCTAGGTTGCTTCCATGTCCTAGCTATTGTAAACAGTGCTGCAATGAACATTGGGGTACATGTGTCTCTTTCAATTCTGGTTTCCGCGGTGTGTATGCCCAGCTGTGGGATTGCTCGATCGTATGGCAGTTCTAGTCATAAGGGATTTGATTTGATTTAGGTCATACCTGAATGGTCTAGTGGTTTTCCCTGTCGTCTTCGATTTCTTTCATCAATGTTTTATAGTTTTCTATATATAGGTCTTTTGTTTCTTTAGGTAAATTTATTCCTAAGTATGTTATTATTTTCATTGCAGTGGTGAATGGGATTGTTTCCTTAATTTCTCTTTCTGTTTTCTCATTGTTAGGAAACACAGTTTTTAAAAAAACAAAAATGGGATCATCATTAGACAGTTTTCAACCTGCTTCTTCACTTTGCTTAATAGTTTGGGCCCTTATTTCTGTGTCATTAAATACCAATCTGTTTTTAAGAGCTGAATAGTACTGTATTCATGAGCTACAATTCATTCACTGGTGAATTTTAAGGTCATGTCCCATTTTCACTGTTAAAACAATGAAGTGAATCTCTTTGTAGATACAACTTTTATATACTTGATGGTTATTTCATCAGGATCAATTTCTTGAAAAGGGATTTCAGAGTGTACAAACGTTGGGTTTCCCAGGTGGTGCCAGTGGTAAAGAACACGCCTGCCAATGCAGGAGACATAAGAGACATGAATTCAATCCCTAGGTTGGGAAGATTCCCTGGAGAAGGGCATGGCAACCCACTCCAATAGTCTTGTCTGGAGAATTCCGTGGACAGAGGAGCCTGGCAGGCTACAGTCCATAGGGTCGCAAAGAGTCAGACATGACTAAGGTGAATGAGCATGCACGAATGTTCTAAAATCCTTGATATGTGTTGCAAAGGGCCAAATCTCAGGATGTGTCTGTTTACATCCCCTGATTCAGTATATGAATGTTACCTAATCACCTTTTAAAGAAGGAACAAGAGAAATAACATTTTATCCAACAAACCATAACAGGAACGCTCAATTGGATGTTACGGCCAGTGATGTTACAGTTGGATGTTAACAGATATGTGGAGATGGGAAGAGAAAAGGGTGAAGGTCAGAGAGAGCCAAGGGTGAGGGAGGGAGGGAGGTGAGACAGGACTGGGGATGAGGATTGAGGTGAAGGTCCCTGAGAGAGACCTCCTAAATGCGTAGGAGAGAGACAGAGTGCAGCACCAACAACACACAGACCCAGACACCAGCGCAGGTCTTGAGCACGAAGCAACATGCAACCCCAGGAGGCCAGTGTTGGTGAGAGCCAGTCGGAGCCTGCAGACACGTGCACGCACCCCTCATTGTCTTCCAGGCTTAGGCAGCGAGCAGCAGCCTGGCCCTCCAGCCCCTGGGAGCTCTGATTCTAAAGAAGGGATCAGAACCACCAGTGATGGGCCCTCCCCAGCCCACCAGAGTCCCTCACCTGACTCTCACTGACACTGGCCTGGCTTTAGGCAGCGACTTCACAGAATGATCCAGCAAATGAGCTCCCTGGGCAGCAGGTGAGGAGTTATCTGGGGGATAAGTGACGGAGGTGACTCATCATCACAACCTCCGTGCAGGCACCCTACACCCAGAACCAGGCCAGGTCGCTGACCGTGCAGGAGCAGGTGGTGGACACTGCCTGCCTGAAGTGGCCGCTGCTCTTCTCTCGGCTCTTTGAAGTCACCACACTCTCAGGTAATGGTGTCTGATGTGTAACAGGGTGCCAGTGGGCCCCCACCCTGGACCAGCCCTGACTTCACACCCCTCTTTCCTTCTGCCAGGCCCCCGACTGCCCAAGACTCAGCTGATCTTGGCTGTTAACTGGAAGGGTCTGTACTTCCTGGACCAGAAGGAGAAGGTGCTCCTGGAACTCTCTTTCATCGAGGTCATGAGTCTGATCACCAATAGGTGGGTGCTCCAAGGGAAGCCCCAAACCTCCATCTCCCCACAATCTCAGTCCTTGGGGCTCCAGGGGAGACAGGGAGAAGGGGAGACTGGCGCACACTGCATCACATGTGTGGCATGATGGCCATTGGCTCAGGCCCCACCATCCACTGTCCTGGGGCCAGCAATGGGTCCGCACACCACCGATTACCCTCTCAAGCTTCCTCTAGAGCCCAGCTCCCCTGGAAAGAGGCACATAAGCTTGCAGCCTTCAGGGCTTCCATTCGCTTATAGGTTCTTTCTCTTCTCACTGGTGGGTACTGCTCATGTGGAGTTGCCAGCAGTCCAGGAGAGGGAGCAAGGGACATGCCTGTGTGTGCAGGGCATGGAAGAGAGTGAGGACCACCTTGCATGCCAGGAGTGCACCAGACACCCCGCCTCCAGCTCTCATCTACTGAGAAGGCCTTCACACCCTTTTGGAAGGCCTGCCTGTGCCCTGCCAGAGCCTCTCCTTGGTTCAAACACACCCTAGTGTGGCATGACCATTATGGTCATGTGTGGTCCCAGTGTGCAGTGTGTGTGGGGACCACTTACTGAGGCAGACTGTGCTAGGTGCTCTCTTCTATTCCAGTAAGTCCCCCCATCACCCCCACACTCTGCAGATGAATAAACAGAGGCATGCAGAGGGTAGGTGTTTAGTTGCTCAGTCGTGTCTGACTCTTTGCGACCCCATGGACTGTAGCCCACCAGGCTCCTGTGTCCATGGGATTTCCCAGACAAGAATACTGGAGTGGGTGGCCATGCCCTCTTTCAGGGGATCTTCCCAACCCAGGAATCAAACCAGGGTCTCCTGCATTGCTGGCGGATTCTTTACCAGCTGAGCTACCAGGGAAGCCCACGGAGACTGGGTAGCTCACCCAAACTCACCCAGGCTGGCGCTCCATCTCAGCACCAACTTTCTTTGCAGTGGCCCCATGGTGGCCCTGCATGCCAGCCACCGCCTCGCCTGCCCAGAGCTGACTCCACAGACAGGCTTGGCACCACCACTGCCTTTGAAGCCCATAGAACAGGACCCTAAGCTCTGGTTCATCTGCCCACGCACACAGAAAGTCCGGGGCTAGGGCAGATCCATGCTCAGCCCCAGGCCCTGTATGGCTCCAGACACACTGGAGTTTCCTCATCTGTAAGAGGGCTTCATGGTGTGATGGCTGGCACTCCGAACTCTGTAACTTGGGCAGGTCACCCCTCTGAGGCTGTTGAGGGCTGACCCAGGGGGAGGTGGGGCAGGCCCCTGCTCACATTGCCCCCTTTCCCCCTCAGGGAGGCCCAGGGTGGGCAGAGGCTGATGCTGTCCACGCTGCATGAAGAGGAGTATGAGTTCCGGTCTCCCAGCTGCGTGGCCGTCGCCGAGCTGGTGGCCATGTTTCTGGAGGGCTTGAAGGAGAGGTCCGTGTTCGCCATGGCCCTGCAGGACAGGAAGGCCACAGGTGCCCAGCCAGGCGGGGAGGGGGCCCGGTGAGGGGCCGCTCATGTGGCCGGTGGGAGGGCGGCTTGTTTGTGCCAGGTGCTGGTGGTCACAAAGCAGGCGGAGGGCAGGGACTCGAGCAGAGAGAGGGAGAGAGGCCACAAAGTGCTCAGGGTCATCCATGGGCAAGGCAAGATGAGGGTGTTCAGGAGGGGTCTCAAACCCTCCAAAGTGAAGGGCACTGAGGGATGTCCCTCTCCTGGAAGCAAGGGAAGAGCCAGCCAGGTCAGCAGCCCCTGCAGCGCACGTCATCCCCACTGCCACCCTCTTATCCGGTGCTGCAGACGAGGACTGGTGCCTCAGAGAAGGCAAGCAGCTTGTCCAGGGCCACATAGCTTGCGGGTGGGGATGGGGGTGGCGTGAGCCCTGCTGTTCTCGTTGACAGCCGCAGCTTCCCTCAGCACAGCTGGAAGTCAGGCTTCAGAAAGTAAGGGAGAAGGGAGGGCTGTGCACAGGGTCTTAACTGCACTGGAAACATCAGCAGAAGCTTTGTCCCCATGGCCCATCCCATCCTCACAACCGCCCCAGGAGGGAGGGGTGATCTTCTCCATCTTATAGCTGAGGAAACAGGCTCAGACAGGTCACTTAGCTCCTGGGCAGGCACGGTAACAGCCTGCCGGTCCTCTGTTCCCTTGGTCCATCTGCCTCACGGCTCCCTGGCCACTTCCTGGTCAGGCCTCTGAGCAGGTCTCCCCAGCTTCTGCCTGCCCGGCTCTGCCTGTCCGGGCCCCCCAAGTGCCTGAACTCGGGGAATCCCACCCCCAGTCACTCTCAGGGCGGCCGTGGGCCCCCTGCTCTGTGTCCCTGTTTCCTCCCCGATCGGAGGGGACCGCCCACAGGGTGTTAGCAGGCCCTCTGGCCTCCACTGAACCCTGGGGAAACCGTCTTCTCTGTCTCTTCTGTGTGTCCATGTGACCGTAGAGGATTCCACCCTCCTGCCCTTCAAGAAGGGGGACTTGCTGATCCTGACAAAGAAGCAGGGCCTGCTGGCCTCTGAGAACTGGACCCTGGCCCAGAACGACCGGACCGAGAAGACGGGGCTGGTGCCTACCTCCTGCCTATATGCCATCCCGACAGTCACCAAGCCCTCAGCCCAGCTGCTGGTAACCCACGTGCTCACCTGCCCTCAGCCAGGCACCCCTGGGCGCCTGGGGAAGAGGCTGAGATGCCAGGCCTGGGGTCCCAGCTCAGGTGCCCGGGCCCCACTCCCCAGAAAGCCTGGGCATCATGGCAGCCATGCCAGCCCTGCCATCCCTCTGGGAGAGGCAGGAAGTGCTTGTGCAGTGAGTGGCTGGGGCGTCACCTGGCACTCAGCAGGTGCTCAATCAGTGCGCGTCCCTCCATCCCTCCCACCAGGGAGCGTCCTAGGGGTAAACCTGTCTTGCCTCAATGTCATTTAAAAACCCTGACCCAAGGGGGCTCAAGTCTCCCTACCCCTGACAACCACTCCACCTTAACCCCCAAGACAAGCGCCGCCCCTCCAGGGAGACAGGACAGGCCTCCCAAATGCATGTATTGAGTGCCAACTGTGTGCTCTGTACCACAATACAGTCTCAAACACAGTAGCATCTCCACCCTCAAGGAGCACTGGGACAAATGATGACTTGGTGGCAGGGGTACAGAGTGCCACCAAGAAGCAGCACTGGTTGTTACAGGAGCAAATTCTAGGATGGGGACTTACTCTGTCCAGGAAGATTTCCCTGAGGGACAGACGCTTCCGTGACCAGGCCTGAAGGAGGTGGGGGGCCAGGCCAGCAGAGCCAGGGTGAGAGATAGCCCTGAAGAGAAGTGCCCCAGGAGAGGGGAGCCTGGTGGGCCTGAGCACCCCCTGAAGAAAAAGGAAACAGGTTCAGAAACATTGAGTCACTGGTCCTGGGTTCCACAGCAGGTGACACAGGAGGGGTAGGTCCCAGCCTGTCCAGCCCTGTGGCCTGGCCCCTCCCAAGTCTCTGAGGACACCTGGCCAGGAGGAGCCCGTGGGTGGGGCCTTCTGGATACTCATACCTATGCCCCACTCCACCCCCAGAGCTTGCTGGCCATGTCACCGGAGAAGCGGAAGCTGGCAGCCCAGGAGGGGAGGCCCGCAGAGGCTCCCCTCGAGGAGCATCCCGAGGAGACCCTGCACACCCTGGAGGAATTCTCCTATGAATTTTTTAGGTGCCCACCCTGCTTCATCCCGTGCCCCACCCCAACCAGCCCTTCGGTGCTGCCTGGGCAGGGAAGGGACCCTCTGACCCTGACATAACCAACCTGTTTCTTAGTGGAGTGCTGTGGGCGCAGAGGGCATCCCCGTGGGGGCCCACCCTGGAACCCTGGGCTCTCTCTGCACTGTGTGTGCATGGCCCACGGTGGGTAGGAACAAGGAGCAGCACACACCCTGACCCTGGCCTCCATCCCCAACAGGGTCCCAGAGAAGGAGACCATCAGCAGAGCTGTGCTGCCCCTGGCTCGAGCCCGGGGGCAGCTGTGGGCCCACTCGGCCGAGCCCCTGAGGCAGCCACTACTCCGGCGCGTCCACGCCAATGCTGAGCTGCGGGATGCCGCCTGTCAGATCTTCATCGATATCCTTTCCCGGCTGGCCTGCCCCAGCCCCACACCAAGCCTGTGGGCACCGGCCCCACGGCCGGCCCACCCAAGGGCCAGGCCTCTCAGGGCCCTGGTCTGCTCCAGAGTCAGTGAGGTGCCCCAGGGTGGCGGGATCAGCTCCAGGCCAGACTCAGGATCAGTGGTGACAGGCACTTCTCCTTGACGGCCGCACCCATCCTCAGGTACATGGGTGACTACCCCTCTCGGCAGGCCTGGACCTCCCTGGAGCTCACCGACCAGATCTTCTCATCAGCCCTCCAGGAGGCCATCCTGCAGGACGAGGTTTATTGCCAGATCCTGAAGCAGCTGACGCACAACACCAAGAGGTCTGCGGGCAGCGGGGAGGGATGGAAGGCACAGCAGGCACAGGCCCCCTCAGCCCCCGCCCTGGGGGGGCGCCACCCCCACCCCCACCTCATAAAGGCAGCCTTGGTTGTAACACTGGGGTGGGAGGGGGTGCGGGGACTTCTTGCCCTGGGTCGTGCCACTACTACCCTGTGTCCTTCGTCACCTGGCCTCTCTAAACCTCAGTGCTCTCCTCCACAAAATGGGCATGATAGCACTCCCTCTCCTTCTTGTGAGCAGGAAAGCTTTGATGGCGTTGACAGCAGGGCAGTGGCCTCCTTGCCCATGGCCTCAGGCAGGCCTCTGCTCACATGAAAAATCCTGCAAAGAGCCCCACCTCCCTGCAGTGCTGGAGGGCCCGGCCTCCGGGAGGGGCCCCTCCTGGGCTGACCTGTGCTGCCATCCACAGGTACAGTGAGGAGCGGGGCTGGCAGCTGCTGTGGCTCTGCACCGGCCTCTTCCCACCCGGCAAGGCGCTGCTGCCGCACGCCCAGAAGTTCATAGACACGCGGAGAAGGAAGGTGCTGGCCCCCGACTGCAGCCGCCGCATCCAGAGGGTCCTGAGGTGAGCCTGCCAACTCCCAGGTGCCCCCGGAACATTGGTCTGGGAGTGCTGGGGGTTGTGGCCCACCAGTCTCCCGGGATCATGTTCCAGTGAGCACACCCACCAGAGGAGCCAGACTCGGATTCCTCTCTGAAGTGGTGTCAATCTGGGGAGACAGGGCCCGGTCCCAGCCACCAGGGAGGGAGACACAGTGAGGCCCAGGAGGGCTGCAGAGAGGCTGGAGGGGTTGGCGGGTTTCTGGCCACGAGTGGCCGCCTGGGTCATGAAGAGGCCCATACCCAGTGCCCGGCTATATGAAAATGAGAACACGACCCACCCTGCCCGCTGGTGCCCTGCCCAGCCTGGTCCTCCCCCTACACGTGCTGTCAGAACCTCAGGGCTCCTGGGGGATGAGGTCAGGCTGGCCTCTGCCACCTCCCATGGGCCACGTGCCCGGCACCTCCTCAGATCAGCTCCTCGTGCATGGCATGTAGCTGAACGCAGAGGCTGGTGAGGGGCCAGGCCTGGGTGGGTGGTGGTGGCCCGGGCAGCGTGCACTTTGCTCCAGGACAGGGCCCCGGAAGCAGCCGCCGCACCAGGTGGAGGTGGAGGCCGCGGAGCAGAACGTCTCCCGCATCTGCCACAAGGTCTACCTGCCCAACAACACGAGCGAGGTGAGCCTCCCCTCCCCACCCCCAACACAGCCAGAGCAAGGTACTTCCCCACTGGGGTCACTCTAGGAGAGCTGGGCGACGCCTACGGACACAGCTGTGTGAATGCGAATGGACCGCCTCCCCTTTGTGCTCTCCTAGCCCCTCTCCTGTGAAAATACAGCCCTGTTCTCACTGGCCCCCGCCAGCATGAACTGAGCACTGGGTACCCTCAGGAGTTTCAGGTCATGCAGGGGACTACTGGCCCTGGGGAGGTTGTAGTATGGTGGGGAGTTAGGATGTCCCGAAGGCATGGGGGGCCTTCCAGGCCAGGCACAGGAGTGAGGAGGCCAGGAGGCTGGGCAACAAGGCTGAATTCCAGGGCCTAGAGGCCCCTTGGGGCTTCCACCCAGCCCCGGGGCCACAGTGAGCAGGGATCCCGTGAGGTGCTTATGGATGGAACCCAGCTGGCTGTTGGGGACAGCGGAAGAGACAAGTGGGAGTTGGCAGTGCATGTGTGTGTGCTAAGTCGCTTCAGTCATGTCTGACTCTGCACCCCATGGACTGTGGCCTACCAGGCTCCTCTGTCCAAAGGATTCTCCAGGCAAGAGTGCTGGAGTGGGTTGCCATCCCTGCCTCCAGCGGGAGACCCTTGGCTAAATGGCAGCAGTGGAGGGAGGGGAAGTGGGGGGTGGTGACGTCACAGCCCTCCCCAAGTGGACTGTGGCCTGGAGATGGCAGAGCCCATGATGGGAAGTTCCTAGTCTGGCTGCATACTCTCAGAGCAAGTTGAAAAAGCCAGGCCTCTTGGGTACCCCGAGACAGTGAGCCCTGTGACAAAACAGTGCACACATCTGGCCAGGTTTCTAGAGGGGTAGTCTCACCCTTCTCAGGACAGGGCACGCCCAGCCTTAGCCAGCAGGGTTCAGAGGCTTATCCAGAGCTGAGCCAAGTCCTGAGGTGGTCACGGGCTGCCCCTCTGCCCAGATGCTGGAGGTGGGTGCCAACACCCGGGTGCGGGACGCCTGTGACAGCATCGCCGCCCGGCTGCAGCTTGCCTCCTGGGAGGGCTGCAGCCTCTTCATCAAGATCGCAGACAAGGTGTGTGGCCCACAGGCCAAGGGGCGGGAGGGAAGGCAGTTAAAGCAGGTGGGGGTCTCCCACCTGCACTGGGCCAGCCCCTGCCGGGGTACACAGGCACACAGGCGAGAGGGGTCACAGAGCCCCCGTGTGACACCTGGCCTCCTGCACACCTGCCTGCCTGTCCCCTCCTCTCCACCTGCCCCAGGTCATCAGCCAGAAGGAGGGAGACTTCTTCTTTGACTCCCTGTGGCACGTGTCCAACTGGGTAAAGAAGAACAAGCCCCAGAAGGAAGGTGAGCAGAAGGCTCTGGGAGCCAGGCTGGGGCCACAAAGGAGGGTGTTGCTGGGATCTGAGGTGGAGCAGGACTTGTCTGCCTCCTGGGCCAGGGTCAGACAGCTCCCCCGGACCTTCGCTCATGCCCATTCATTCCTTCATTCTCCTCAGGTCCCCTGGCTCACGGGTATGACCAGGCCTGGGGCCAGGCAGTGAGGCCCTGCCCTAAGAACTCTACCAGCTCGGGCAGGGGCTGGGCGTGGGGCAGGCCTGGAACACATGGCCAGACTTTGGGGTGATGAAAGGTGCACAGGGGCAGAAGGGAGTCTGACCCCAGAGGGAGATCCAGGATTGCCTATTCATCTTGAAGGCTGAGGAAGGGCTGGGGGCCAGGGAGAAAGAGGCATGGAGGCTTTCCAAAGGGGAGGTCATGGTAGCAGACACAGCAGCGATGTGGGAGGGCCAAGTGGCAGGGTGCAGGATTGGGTGTAAGGCCTCAGAGCCTGCCTAGCCAGGGACAGGCTCTGTGCTCACTGCTGCCCCTGCCCAGGGGCCCCTGTGACAATCCCCTATCAGGTGTATTTCATGCGGAAACTGTGGCTCAACGTGGCCCCTGGGAAAGATGTGAAGGCAGACACCATCCTTCATTACCACCAGGTACCCGGCTGCCCCTCCTGCTGGGTGTTGGGGCCACACCTGCCCTCAGAGTGGGGCATGGCCTCTTTGCCCAGGGCCACCCACCTCCCGCCCAGGGCCTCGTGGTCGGTCAGGGTTCTGGAGCCAGGAGAGCAGTGCCTTGGGACAGTGGCACCTGCAGACAGTAGCTGTACCCTCACCTGCAACACGCCTGCCAGGGAGGGGAGGGCCCAAAGGGTCCCGAGCCCGTGAAGTGCTAGGCCTTGCCCTCAAGGGGTAGAGCAGGCCCGGCTCTGCAGCGAAGTGCTGTGGAGCCCTGCCCGCGCTCAGTCACCTTCCCTCCGCTGGAAACCTAACCCTGAGGACCTTATCTCTCTGCAGGCTCTGTTCCCTAGATTCTACTGGGCTACCACCTGAGCGCAAAGCTGGGGGTGGCAGGAGCCTAAAGTCCAGCTTTTCCTTCACCCAGGAGCTGCCCAAGTACCTGCGTGGGTTCCACAAGTGTTCAAGGGAGGATGCCATCCACTTGGCTGGCCTCATCTACAAGGCCAGGTTTGGTGATGACCGGTCCCAGCTAGCCAGCATCCCCAAGATCCTGCGGGAACTCGTGCCCGAGAACCTCACGCGCCTAATGTCCTCAGAGGAATGGAAGAAGGTCCTTGTTGGGGTCTGGAGAGGGGGCCCTTGGCTGCTGCCCCTGTAGGGGTCCTGCCCACGTGTGGCTGCGGGAGGGTGGACTGGGTCTGCCACCCACGGCCTCAGGCAGCAGCCGTTGTTCTGGTCGGAGCCTCAGGGCCTCATGTGGTGGCCCAGCCAGGCTGTGGTCTCCACTGAGACCTCACTGGCCCTGGCTTTCCCTAGAACATCCTCCTGGCCTGCAACAAGCACAAGGACAAGACGGTAGAGGAGGCCAAGGTGGCCTTCTTGAAGTGGATCTGCCGGTGGCCCACCTTCGGGTCTGCCTTCTTCGAGGTGAAGGTAGGTTGCACCCCAGACCCGCTGTCCTGGCCAATCAGGCCCCACACAGCTCTGGCCCCGGCAGCCTGAGCTTCTCCTGCAGACAGGTCACAGGCAGGGCCACCGCCAGGTCTGGGAGGGCATGTATGTGTGCGTGCGTCTCAAGGAGGGGCTGTGATCTCTGTGACGCCCTCCCTCCCCAGCAAACTTCGGAGCCCTCCCACCCGGACATCATCCTCATTGCCATCAACCGGCACGGGGTCCTGCTCATCCACCCCAAGACCAAGGTAGCAGAGGGCCCTGGCAGGGCCAGGGAGGCCCCCGTGCAGGGAGGCTGGGCTCCCGTCCTCCTATACATCAGCCCTGGGCTCTGGAGGATCCCGGGCAGCAGTTCAGACCCGGGGCCCCTCAAGCCTCCTGGGCTTTGGCTGGCTCTGACCCGCCCACCTGCTGTGGCCCCAGGACCTGCTCACCACCTACCCCTTCACCAAGATCGCCAGCTGGAGCAGCGGCAGTACCTACTTCCACATGGTGCTGGGGGGCCTGGGCCGGGGCAGCCGCCTGCTGTGTGAGACCTCTCTGGTGAGCTCCAGGCCCGGGGGCCTTCCGGGGGCCCCAGGCCCTTTTCCCAGCCCAGATGCGAAGCACCCAGAGGCTCTGGACACTAGGTCTCCCACCCCTGACCCCCTGATGCCACCGAGTGCATTGCTCATGGGAGAGCCCAGCTCCCACACCTGGCACGGACAGGCCAGGCTGGGCTGGTGCACTCGATGGAGGTGCAGTGCGGGGAGGGTGGGGCGTGTCACTCGGGGGCATCGAGGCCTGGCAGGGGGCTCTATGGTCCTAGGAGGGATGAGGACTTGGGGCCCAGACACAGTCCTGCTTCTCTCGTCACCACGTCTGCCTGGGGTGTCACTGAGGCAGAAGCTGGGCCCCCCAAGCCCTGGTCCACGCCCTGCCTAACTGTACCCCACCTTCCCCTAATGCAGGGCTACAAGATGGATGACCTGCTGACCTCGTATGTGCAGCAGCTGATAAGCACAGTGAACCGGCAGCGGGGCCCCCGCAGCTCAGTCTCAGGCCACCTGTAGCAGCAGGGTCCTCTGGCCCACTCAGCCGCCCTCCACAGTCAGGGGTCCCTGTGGGGCTCACCCAGGACCCTCCTCTGGGCCCGAGGCCTGCCCTCTCCCCAGAATGCCGCCTCCCACCCTCTGGCACCCCAGTGGGTCCCTCCCCTGGGTGCTGACTATAAGGGGCAAAGGCAGGCGCCCAGGGCAGCACCGGGAGTGGTAGGCCTCACAGCTGATGGGTGCATGATGAGAGGACCCCCTAGAAATGTTCAATAAAAGTTTATGGAGCACTGGGGAGTGTGTGTCAGTGAGAGAAGAGGGTTGCGGGTTAGATGGGCCGGGATCCAGGAGGTGCTGGCCAGGAAAAGTTCCTTCTGTAAAAAGCAAAAAGCACTATGATCCCCCCAGGGACAGGGAGGACAGCTTCATCCTCAGAGAATGACTTCCGTCGTGTCTCAGCTTTCTTTCCACCTCCTTCCCTTCCTGCTTCTCAGACTGGGAAGGGACTCCCTATGGGCCCCTTGGCACAGCTTTCCTCCTTCCCCATCAGGACACTGGGCACAGGAGGCTGCCAGGGGGGTCTGCTGGAGGAGCTGTGGGCCCCTTTCCCCACACAGAGGGAGGATCAGCACGCAGGGCCTTGGGGCCTGGGCTCACCCTGGACCCCCAGCCGGCCTGTCCCCCCACTCCACCCACGGGGCCAGCCCTCAAGGACTGAGGGTCTCTGCTGACCTTTTCTCCAGGCCCTGTTGCAGCCTGGCCCTGGGATGCCTGTCCAGTCTGGTCTTTGTCTTTCTCACACTGCAGCAGCACATCCACCCTGATGCCACAAACTACACAGGCCCTGGGGTGGTGTAAAGAAGCCTTCATTCGTTGTGCGAGTGTAATGTCTTTCTTGGAGGGCAGGAATGAGCCAACCACTGGAGCCCACCACCTCCTGGCTCCAGACTGCACCCAGGGAATCAGGACGCGCTCCAGAGGCGGGGTGCGCAGGGCCCCTTCAGCTGCTGTGTAGGGTGAAGTGCAAGACATGCCGGCCTGGTCTGGGTACTGGGATCCTCCTTGACTGAGTGAGCACGTGGTGGGGGAGAGAAGGACGGTTTACCAGAGGCCCCCCACCCACTTGGCCTAGGGCCCAGGGCAGCTGCCTGACTGGTGGCCCCATCTGTGCCATGTGGGGCAGAGGCTGGCCAAGCTGCCATGAGGCCTCTGCAGGGATGGGACAGGTCAGGGCAGGCTGAGTCAGGTGACACCGGCCCCTATCTGTTCCTGGCCCTGGAGAACCTCGGGCCAAAACTGTGGATGTGGACCTGTCATAGGCTCACCACACCCAGGCCCCTGCCCCAAGGCCTCGTGGAAGGAGGGAGAGGAGGATGCTCGAAGGTGGAGGGGAGGAGGAGGGATGCTGAGCAGAGAGACAGGAGCGAGATGCGGCAGGTTCAGGGAGCTGAAGCAGGGAGTGAAGCCTCGGGCAGCAGAAGAGCGACGTGCAGGAAGCAGCCCCGGGGGCAGGCCTCTCAGGCAGTGGGGAGGCCCGAGGACTTGGGCTGCGCCCTGCGGGCAGCCAGCTCCGACAGCTTCTTCAGCCGTTTCTTCAGCTCCAGCGGAAACTTCTCGTAGCACCGCTTACACACGGGCTTCATGTCGAACTCCACAAACTTGTTCCTGGGGAGGACGGGCAGCGGTCGGGAGGGATGGGGTCTCCTCTGGGCCCCAGCCTGGAGCACACCGCCTCCCACACAGCAGCCTGTCACCCGCCCTGGGCGTGAGTTTGTGGCCAGAGGTCAAGGTAGACCTCTGGAGGAAGGAGATGGGAGATAGGAGGCCTCCAGGCCTCCCTTTCTGCCTAGAGACAGCCAACTCCAACAGGAGTCCCCAACAGGCTCCAGGAGCGGGAAGGGGAGGAGGTGGATACTGTGTGGGTCTCCACCCACTGCAGCTCCTCTCCTGCCCAGGGGCAGGGGGGGCTGCGGTGAGGGGTGGGTGCACCACTTACTTCAGGGTGAGCCGGCTGTTACAGGTGGAACAGGAGAAGCAGTGCACGCACCAGGCCTTGTTGAGGGCTGACACCACTGTGAGGGGCAGACGCAGGCTCAGTGACCCCACAGGTCAGCCACAGGGCCCCCTGTGCACAGGGGGGGCCAGCCGGGCACACGGCTGCAGGACCCACAAGCCCAGAGCGCGCAGGGGACAGAGGCTGGGGCAGGAAGTGGGCACAGGGACGGGGCCTCACCATCGCCCTCGATCACGTGGCTGCAAGTGTAGCAGACATCCCCAAAGAGCTGTGGACAGAGCAGGGGGTTACACACGCTGCGGGCATTCATGCCCCCGGCCCTGGCCAGGGGGATCGCCCCACCCAGACCCAAAGGGCAGTTCCTGACATCTACCTGGGCCTCTCAGGCCTCCAAGGCCTTCTGGACTAGGGCACAGGCTGGGGCCTGAGCGCTTATCAGAATCACCGCCCCCCAAGATGGAGGTGGTAATGCTGCCCCCTCCAAGGCCCCTCTGCAGCCCTGGTGTCCTGGGGAGTGTGGTCAGGGCGGGAAGCCCATTCTCTGGACAGTTTTGCTGGGCCTGGTAGGAGGGAGGGGGGCTGCGGCACATGTCACCCCGAGAGCCCAGGACTTCACATGCCATCTCACTCAGTCCCTGCGACAGGCCTGGCCACGGGGCACATTTCCCAAATGGGGACACTAAGGTCACAGGGGCTGCCCAGGTCCCGAGACACTCAGCTCACAGGCCTGGGGCGCAGCCCCCACTCAGCACCCACCATGGGACTCCCGGGGAGGAGGCTGCCCCATACGCTCTCCGGCCAGCCCGCCCTGCCTGGCGCCCGCTGCCTTGCCTCAGCCCGCACCTGGTTGTAGTGGGTCTCACAGTAGGCCAGGCCCTTCTTCTCATAGTGCCGGTGCCCCAGGAACGGCTTCTCACACTTGGCGCAGACGAAGTGCTGGGGAGGGGGCGAGGGGCGGCAATGGCAGAGTCGGGGCAGCAGCCACGTCCCCAGGAGACAGCCCAGAGGCTGATGGGGTTGGGGGCTCGCGGGACCCACAGGAGGGCCGTGGGGCCGACACCTCCGTGAGTTGCCCCTGCTTAGCAGACCTCACCCCTCGCTGCTAGGCACCTGCAGCCCAAGGGGTCAGGTGCTGGCGAGGCGCCTGCAGCACAGAGGGCTGCACTCCCGCGGACTCCTCTGTCTCCACAAGCCCAGAGTCACCAGATGCATCTTCCCATTCAGGAGGCTTCTGGGTGTGATGACTCACCTTCCCATGGGGGGCTGGGGGCCAGGGGCCACATCAGGACCCTCACAGAGGGGCCACCCAAGGCAGAGCCTGTGGGACGCAGGCTTGCATGCCTCTCTTCCAGGTAGTGACTGTGAGTGCCGGAGCCCCCAGCGGAGGCCTGGAGACCCAGTGGGGCACGCCGGACCATCTTGCCCGCAGGTGGGCTGAGCTCACAGTTTGCACAGCTGTACACACAGCCACTTCCATCAGACACAATCCCACAGGGCGCCCCAGACCAATGTCCCCAAGGTGTTCTCATGACCTTGGAATCTTCTAGAAGGCCAGGAAAGGGAGGAAGGGTGGGGGTGTCTCAGGACTTTGGCATCCTCTAGAAGGCCAGGAAGGAAAGGACGCCTCGGGGGTGGTGTGCCTGCTTGGCCCTGCTCTGTGCCCTCAGGTCTCTGGGTCCCATGTACTGACCCTCCCCTGGCCAGGGGCCAGGAAGGGCAGCACCCGAGAGGAAGGTCGGTTCTGGGAGGGAGTGTGGAGGGGTTGCAGCAGGGCCAGACTTTGGCTGTGAACATGAGCTGGCCTCCCCCTCCCCCCAGTCTGCTGTCCACACCGGCCTCGCTCACCTCCACGTGCCACTGCTTGCCCAGCGCATTGACCACCCGGCCCTCGATGGGCCGGCGGCAGGCCCCGCAGATGGGGACCCCCATCTTGTCGTGGCAGGGCAGGCAGTACAGCTCGCCCTTCAGCTCCCGGGCCTCTGCGGTCAGCTCCTTCCTAGAAGACAGCGCAGAGCCCCCAGTGACGGCACTGCCCAGCTCCCGCCCCTCCAGACCCAAGGCAGCAGCTTCTGAACAGCCCCCCACCCCAGTTCTGTCCCTGCAGAGCCCCTCAGGCAGGCGTTGCTTTCATCTCTGCTCTCTTTGGAGACTTCCTGTGCCCCAGACAGGCCCCAGGGCATGGGATTCTCGCTCCGCCCTCGCAGAAGGAGGCCTCTGTTTGGCACAGATCTGTTCCCGGCCCCTCCGCCCCTAGATCAGACTGGGCATCTGGGACAGACCCAAGGGGGGGCCCTGCAGCCTCTCCTTCCTCTCTCATCCCTCGTGCACCTCTGAGTCTCCAGTCCTCCCTGAACGGAGCCCCAAAGAGAGGAGTCTCCTGCATGGTTGCCCTCGGGCCCCCATTCTGCCTGCCCCTGCACCCCACTCTCCCGTTGCCCCTCTGCCCACCTGGTCCTTCTCTCCAGCCCCATCACTGCCCTGGGGGGCTGTCCCACCTCCACCCAGCTCTCCCCCTACCCGCAGTGGGTGCAGCTGAAGTGGTCAGGGTGGTAGGCGTCATTCTTGAACATGAGGGGCTGCTCGTCGATGACCAGGTGGCAGCGCTGACAGATGTACTTGCCCAGGCCCTTGGCCTTCTCGCGGTTGTGACAGGGTCGGCACAGGTGTCTGTAGGGAGTGAGGCAGGTGTGAGGAACACAGCCTCCCCTCCGCAGCGCCCCCAGGCAGCTGGGCCACCTCCCTGGAGAAGACATCCCCGAACACTGAAGACAAAGGTCCGTCTAGTCAAAGTTGTGGTTTTTCCAGTGGTCATGTATGGATGTGAGAGCTGGACCATAAAGAAGGCTGAGCACCAAAGAATTGATGCTTTCAAACCGTGGTGTTGGAGAAGACTCTTGAGAGTCCCTTGGACTGCAAGGAGATCAAACCAGTCAACCCTAAAGAAAATCAATACATTGGAAGGGCTGATGCTGATGCTGAAGCTGAAGCTCCAGTACTTTGGCCACCTGATGCGAAAAGCTGACTCATTAGAAAAGACCCTGATGCTGGGAAAGATTGAAGGCAGGAGGAGAAGAGGACAACAGAGGATGAGATGGTTGGATGGTATCACTGACTCGATGGACATGAGTTTGAGCAAGCTCTGGGAGTTGGTGAAGGGCAGGGAGGCCTGGCGTGCTGCAGTCCATGGGGTCGCAAAGAGTCGGACATGACTGAGCGACTGAACAACAACAACACCCTCACCCCTACAGCCTGAACAAATGCCGGGAAGCCTTGGGGGTTCAGCCCAGTGTCCCGGAAAAGCCAGCCAACAATCCTGCTGCTGGGAAGGCCACAGGTGAGCCCCCTAAGAGGAGCACAGGACAAAGAGCAGAAGGAAGTGCGGCAGCAAGTTGGTGCTGGTGTCTTTGGACGCAAGGCAAACATGCTGTTTTTCTTCCTTATGCTTTTGCTGAGCCTAGGACATCATGTGGATAAGAACAGCTCAAAAATTCGCTTTATTTTTCAAATATCTTTCAACACATAGGAGTAACTGTACAGTGTGTTACCAGCCCACTGTGCCCAGTCGAGGAGCCAAGGAGTGCCAGGCCCGTCGGGCACTCAGAACCTGCTTCCTCAGGGGTCCTCCCAACAAAGAGGAACCCGGACGTCTACAGGCTTGCTCTGTCTCCAAAGACAAGCACGGTTGTGCTAGATGTAGCCCCCCAGACCTAGGAACTGTCATTACAGAGTCTTTTTTGTAAAGACCTCGGAGTAATTTCTGATGGTACTTTCTCCTCTGGGCAACAGCTGTGGTCTCTACTGAGAGAAATCAACATGGTTTCTGTTTCCTTGGGCCTCACAGGCGGCAGGAATTTAGATTCAGTGTCCCGGGCAAAGATGCATTAATACAAAGGCCCCAGTGCCCTGCTCCCATCCCCCACCTGCCACCTGACCTGCCAGTGCTGTCGGCATCTGGGCCTTCCTGCCCTCCCTCTTCCAGGCCCCCAACCCCTCCCACCAGCCTCCTGCCCACCTGATACCAGTGTTGGCCTCTTTCAGAGGCAGATCAAGTAAAGAATCTGCCTGCCAATGCAGGAGATGTAGAAGACTCGGTTTCTATCCCTGGGTTGGGAAGATCCCCTGGAGGAGGAAATGGCAACCCACTCCAGTATTCTTGTCTGGGAAATCCCATGGACACAGGAGCCTCGCAGGCTACAGTCCATGGGGTCACAAAGAGTCTGACACAACTGAGCATCTAAGCACACACAGGGAGTCTTCTTAAAAGATTAACTCTCAGACTCAGGACCACGCCGCTCCCACCCCACACACCCCACACCCCCGCCAAGCAGGTATGGTACGCAGATCCTAGATGCCAGGGCAGCGAACTCCCTGCCCTTGACCGTAGCATTGGCCACTGCATTTGGGTCTGGACTGCCCTCTGCTTGCCCCGAGTGTGTTATCTCCCCAGGGCTGAAGGACAAGGGCCCAAAGGAGTGCCCAGCAGCCACCTGGTAAGCTGTGAACAGGCTCCCAGCTGTACTCCTCTGAAGCCTGGGTGCCCCGCACAAGGCAGAGGCTCAGGATGCATCTTCTGATGCGTGAGTACATGAACAACTGTGAACAACAGGAAGGGGAGGGCAGCAGGTGTCATCTCCCCAAGACCTGACGGCCACTGAGACTGGAAGGCCGTCTCCTGGCCCGGGACGCCTGGCTCCCTCTACCTGCCCAGGGCCCACAGTTGTGGCCTGGGCTCTAGTCTCCATCTCCTGGGCAAGGCTCTGCCCCCCTCCCCCGCAAGGTCCCTGAAGCCCGGTGGGCTGTCCCCACCCCACTCTCCCTAAGACACCCTGTGCCCAGCCCCATCCCAGGTCTCCTGCCATGGCAGAGCCTCCCCACGCCACACCTGCCACCTGCTATGTCTCTGTATCAGAGAGTGTTTATTCCCCACAGCTCCACTCCAATTTTGATGACTCCTCTTAGCAGCAGGACAACATTCAACCCATGTGGAAAGATTTTCGCTTCAAAGTTTACCGAAAAGAGCACAACTCCTCAAAATCTGGTTGCAACACTCAGTGCCCTTAAAACCACTGTCATCAATCATCCAACAACAGACATCTGCACTCAGGGAAGCCAGCCAGATTCCCATGTTTCAAGCCACCATGAGCCAGTTCTCCCAGACAGCTACCTTGGGCCACAGTGGGGAGGGAGCCTCACACCCCACCAGCTCCGGGTCAAGACAGAACTGAGGAACCCTGCTCTCTCAGAGGATCCCCAGATGAGAAATATCTTTTCAACAGACCTGATCCCAGCACCAGATCTAAGGACAACCTGCAGAATTTTTCCAAGGTAGAATGAAGATGGAACCTAGGAATTCTACCATTGAGGTGCAGCAGAAGAGAACGAGGCAAAGAACATACACATGCAGCCTAAGTTTTAGAGTCACACATGCTTGAGTCCAAATCCTAGCTCACTGGTTTGTGGCTGGCCAGTCAGGTCACCTCTCTGAGCCTCAGTTTCCTCATCTGTAAAATGGGCAGTAATCCCAAGTGCACAGGACTGTGTGAAAGAACCATTTCAGAGAGTATGTGTGGGAGGTCCCTCCCAGTGATAGCATGTATATCTTTGAACATCTTAACTAAAAAGTTGTAAAGTCTTTTGAAACTAGAAATAGTGGTCTGGTGCCCTGTGCTACTGGGTGTATCATTTGGGGAAAGACAGAGAGAAGCAACTTGGCTGTAGGAGCCACTGTCCACACCCAAACAGCCACCCGCCAGACTCCCAGGAGGAGCCTTGGAGGAGCAGTAGGGGGCAGGCAGCAGTGGCTCTCTTCCCAGGCCTCCTGTCCAGAGGAGGAGCCCACACAGACGCGGGCCAGGCCTCCGGGTCCCCACAGGCACAGACAGCGCCCCATTATGAGGCAGCCTGCAGCTGGGCCCTGCTGGAGATAAAGGCCATGATTTATTCCACACACCCAAAGGGGGCCTCATTATACAGGGCAGGACACAAGGACCCTACAGCAAGTGTCCTGAAAGAATCCCCTCTCATTTGACCAAACAAGACTCCTCGGTCTCCCACCCTTCCCCATTCACAAGACCCCCTGCTCTGCTGAGGGCCAGTGCAGGCTTGGGCGCCCAGGCCCGTTGTCATAGCAACCAGCCCCTCCCTGGCCCCCTCCCCGTGGTAGGAAATTACCCTGTTCTGAAACATCCTGTTGTCTGTCGGTCCCAGCCAAGACCCCCACCCAGCCGGCGCCCACTCCACGGCTTCGTAGATAGTCACACACTCGGCCTCTGTGACGCTCGGCGACCCAGCTGGGGGCCGAGGCGGGGGTGGGGGAGCTGGGACACACTGGAATATTCACAGCCCAGCGGCAGCAGGGGCAGCCAGAGGAGTGGCCCGCCGCACAGGGGACCCCTCAGGAATGAAGCAGCCTTTCAGGGCCCGAGGGGGTGCAGCCTCCCTGCCTCTCCTTAAATAGCCAGCCGGCCTCTACCACAGCCACACGGAGCCACCACCCACCCACAGGCCGCAGCCCACCTGCTGCCCCAGGCCCGCTGTGAGAGGTAAGGGCAGGGCTGGGGAGCGGGGTCGGGGGCGCGGGCAGCCAGCGCGGGCCCAGCAGAGGCAGAACAGGGTAATCTCGGCCATCTCGCTTCAACCTATTTATCGAGGCCTCCCTGGTCTGAATTAGAGCAGCCCGTGGGCAGTGCTCCTGTCTCACTGTGGGGGCTTTTAAAGGAAGAGTGGGTGCCCAGGCTGTGGCCCCATGGCTGCAGCGACAGCCCCCGCACTCTTCTCCTCTAGCCAGGGCACCTGGAGGGCCCCAACGAGGAGGCAGGAGGGACAGGTGCCGGCGACACCAAGAGACTGCCTTCCACCTCAGCCTCCTCCCACTGCACGCCCACCCACGTCCCCTCCAGAGGCCGAGGCCTGCACCTGCTCCATGGTCGGGGCCCCCACGCCCCCCAGCCGCCCTGCCCTGAGCACAGTGAGACGTCGAGAGACCGTGAGAGCAGGCATTTCTAGGGACACGTGGAGAGGAGCAGGAGACCCCCCCCAGACCCACTGCAAAACTAGCATCAAAACTTGTAATGCAGGGGCAGGGTGGAGAAACCGCAACAAGCCTGACGCAGCCTGAAAGCATTCTGAAATCAAGTCTGCACCCAGAGAGAGCATGGTGCATGCGGACTTTAGTGGTGGGGTTCAGAAGGCCCTGGGCAGGAGCAGAAAGCCAGGTGCCAGGCAGCCCACAGGGTGCCCCCTGTGCACACGTAGGGCGCCACGCTCAGTCCACTGCTCTACTGCCACCATTTGGAAAGTCTTGCTTCTTGAACAAAGGGTGGTGCAAACTGTGTCGCTGTTCCTGGGGCCAGGCCCCCGGGAGAGGCGCTGAGCCTGGGAGACCGTGCCACACAAGCCTTGGAAGCAGGGACCCATTAACCCCTGGAGGAAAAGCAGGCAGAGGTGTTGGCTGTCACTGCTGGGTCTTCCGGATCTGGCTTCCTACTCTTGGGCTATTGCCCTGGCCAAATGACCCTGGACAAGTTAGCTGATGCTGAACCTCCATGTCCTCATCTGTAAAATGAGGCAGAGGACATCTGCCCCTGAGGACTCATGGGCAGTGCCCAGACAGGCCTGCCTCACGCTGGGCAGAGAAGATGGTCAGTACCTGTGAGCAGATCTCAAAG